CAATAAATAATTGGTTAATTGGTTCAATAATTGATAAATTATGCATTTCTCTGGTGGTTGAACCCCTTGATATGGCTTGCTGCCTGACAGTTTTTTTTAATTAATTTACTGTTTTTTAGATTTTGGTTATATTCTGTGACTGTGTTGCTTTATGCATCTATTTTCAGGCATTTTATTTTTGTATATAAAAGTTAGGCCATAGAAATGAATGGGAATAATTGAATAATAAAGTTTAGAGATCAGTTCAAGCTTTTAAAATAACATCATTTGTTCACTTTATGCATTTGCCTTTTGTTTTTAAAATCATGCAGAAAAATATGAAAAAAAGTATATTTATTGGCTAAGATATCGACTATCGGCACCCAAATCTTAATAGTTATTGGGTATCAGTATCTGTCAAAAATTCCGTATCAGTGCACTTTCTATAGGCAATCATAATATTATTTAAAATAGAACAATGCAGATGGCACAGTAGAAAATTAGATGTTTCTTGGCTAGCCAAAATTTGTAGGACATTGTAGGCAATAAAAAAATTAGCTTGATTTTGCATTAAATTCTGCAATTTCAGAATTACATATTTCTGGAGGGACTGCATGCTCAACACAACAGGTCATGTAAATTCTGTTTTTTTTTTTTACATTTGGCTAACAGTGGTGTTCCTAATGCTCCTCTCTGAACATTTAGCTTTGCTTTTTTCCTGTCATATTTGTCAAATTTGCTTTTGCCCTGAATGACAGCAGCCCACAAAACACAGGAGCTCTTAAACTGCTTCTATATGAGAACCACATTTCATATTGTTGTTTTTTTATTTTTATTTTATTTTATTTTTTATACAGATTGTTTAAAACCAGATTTAAACAAAACCAGCCTAAAAGTAGTTTGAGTCCGAGGATTGGTCAGTGGAGCTCAGTTGGTGCATTCACCAAGCTGACGGATTGGGAATGAAGTCACTTCCTGGCACTACACTTGTCGACTGTTCTCGGTTATATTTTTCTTTCTACTTGTTTTTTTCTCTCTCTTTCACTGTTAGCCTCTCTCTCTCTCTGTGTGTGTACTGTTGTAGTTGGTGTACATCACCTTAATTAAAGTGCTTTCTCAGGTGTGCTGTATCTGTCTCTCTCTGTCTCTGCCTCCAGGGGACGGCCGCTGCTGTGTCAATAGCAAAACAACAGCCGTGGCAGCTGGTGCGTTCACACAATGTGACTGTGTGTATTTCAATGAATAATCACGCATTTGTTCATCTGAGTGTGGTTGTGTGTGTGAGTGTTTGTGTGAGTCGGTGTAAGTGGGTTTTTGTGTTTCAAGATAGGGAAGCGTCATCCATAGTCCACTTTGATCAGGATTGCAGACATTAGATGATCTGCTAGAACTTTTTTTTAATGCTAAAGACCATCCTAGGATAAGGATTGACTGCTAATGTTGATTCGGCACCATGGATTTGTCAAATCTCGGGGATCTAATGAAAAAAACCCAGAGCTCCATTGTGGAGAAGAGTTTTGCATTTAAAAATACAGATGCGGTGGTGAATGTGAGTATGATTGGGTTTCTGTTTCCAGCACTCTTGAGGTTGGGTGGAGTTTGCACTCATACATAGTGGTTTATGTGTGAAAACTAGTGGTTTGGAGCTTCTTGTTTCTTTTTTTAAAGGTATTATTGTCAAGATAATGATGACAAAACAGCCTTGTATCCTTGTGTTGCATACTAGGATACAAGTGTTGCAGTGATAACATTTAGCAATGATTAGATGAAATGCTAATATTGTGGTCAATTGAATAGATGTCATATATGGATTTATTATACATGCACCAGTGTGTCTAATGTGTTTTAAATACCTTTTATGGAAGTGCAGTATTAAAAATATTGTGTTATTAAATTACCAAAATATGTGAACAAAATATGATTAATGACAGTACTGTATACAGCATGGAAGATACATGTTTGTTTTCAAATTGGGTCCCACTTTATATTAAGTGGCCTTAACTAATATGTACCTACATAGGATTCAATAGTTTGTTACAATGTACTTATTGTGTAAATACATGTATTTATCGTGTACTTATGCTTGATTAAATACATGTATGTAATTACATTTGTAATTAACTTTTGTAGTTACATTTGTAAATACACTGTTGACCATCCCTTACTCCTTAGCTTACCCTTAAACCTACCCATGCCACCAAACCTGTCCATAACCCAACCTCTATTCCAACTCAAAAGCACAAGTGTTCTCAAATACATTATAAACACACTAAGTACATTGTATTTATTTATTTTTTGTAAGTACATAGTAGTTAGGGACACTTAATATAAAGTGGGACCTAAAATTGAGTTGAGATTGCATTTAACGGTTTTATTTTATTTATTAAAAAGATTAAATATAAGGGTAAATGTTAGGTGATTGAGCATGTAATATTAAATATCAAATATCAAGAAATGGCCATAATTTAAAAGGGTAAATGTGTTGACCTGTATATTGCTAAGCTTGAAATTGTTTCTTTTTTGAAAGAAGTGCCTTATCGTCACCAAGGCTGCATTTATTTGATTAAAAACGCAATAAAACAGTCATAGTGTGAGCATTAGGGATGTCCAGGTCTGATCACATGATCTGAAATCAGGCCGAATCACGCAGTTTCAGACTCGATCGGAATCGGACGTTACCCCCTGATCAGGACTCGAATATATTTACATACTGTATATATATTTACTCATTATTTTTTTTAAACATATCTATAGTTATGCGGTGGCACAGAATTAGACCTCCTTCTTCACAGCAATGTGTGCGGCATGACATCACTTTTTTTGCAGAGGTGCTATTGGTTAAATGCCGGCAAAGTAGAACATGAAGCAGCTTGAAGCAGAAAGCTTGAGTATGTATCGGTCTGGAGGTATTTTAAAGTTGATGACGACAACATTGCTATAGCAAACTGTGATATATGTAAACTTGGCATTGCCTGCCGGGTATTTTAAGTTGAGGTGCTGTTTGTTTTTATATTCAATTTTTTAAATATTTACTGTTACACTAAAGTCCAAAAGTGAAGAATTGATGTTACTTATTACTTGATTGTTCAAGCTACCTCACAGAAGTGCTCTGTTTGTTAACAGAGTTGTTGAATGTTAAATAAGGTGAATTCAATAAAGCATAAGGAACATCCTGGATCTGTTTTTTTTGCTCTTCGTTATTTTTTTATATATATATTATAGAAGTGTTGGATCAGTTTTGGGTATCAAATGACTCGGACATGGACTCAAGGGCAAAAAATCTTGATCAGGACATCCCTAGTGAGCATTATTTTACATTTAAAATGGCCACTTTCCTTGAATATATTTTAAATTGTAATCTGTCCTGTTAAAGCAAAGCTAATTTTTCAACCGCTATTCCTTTGCATGATCCTTCAGAAATGGTTGAATGTTTGGTTCTTATTAGTTGCTAATATGTGCAGTGAATCACACTGCTGAAGTTGTTCCAGACAGGTTTTGACTGCGTTACAGTTCCATATCACCGAGCCATTTCAGTAATTTCAGCTCCATACTGCTAAGAACCTATATGCACAAAGACAAGCAATTAATTACAAATGAATAAACATAGCAAACTCTCTTGTATTTAGACAAACAAACACACACACACACACACACACACACACACAAACACACACACACACACACACACACACACACACACACACACACACACTCACTCACTCACACACTTTTTGCAACTTTATTAATAAAACTGTTCTTAAAGCAGTTAAACATTTTTGCTATTCGTGTAGATGCTGCTGCTGGACACTTTTAAGAGATTCTCTCCAGTAATTCTCTCTCTCTCTCTCTCTCTCTCTCTCTCTCTCTCTCTCTCTCTCTCCCTCTCTCTCTCTCCCTCTCTCCCTCTCTCCCTCTCTCTTTGTCTTGTTCAGTCTCTATCATTTTCTCAAACTAGGAAGCAGACAGACACTGTCGGTAAAGAAGCATTATCAGCAGACCTCAACATTTGCACCATTCATCCATTGGAACTAAAACCAATCATTAATTCTTGTAATAAAATCAGATGTCAAGCAGAGTGGGATTTATATACTTCAGACCATTAGGCCATTCCAGAATTTTTTAATATTAGAAGAAGATTCAGAAAATTGTTCTTTCCATCAAATCCCTCTAGCACTGACCCTTGTTTAATTACATTGTGCTGGTTTTTAACATAGCGATAAAGCTTTTGCACTATTTCAGTCATTTTTAAACCATGTTGAACCAAATATATATTTCAATTAAATTGATTATTAAATTCTGTAATTATACCAAAAACTTCTCTCCATTATAGAAGCAAAAAAAAAAAAAAGACTAAACAAATAAACACGTTACTACGATCTGCTATCTTTTACAGTGTAGATCAGGGGTCACCAATCTCGGTCCTGGAGGGCCGGTGTCCCTGCAGGTTTTAGCACCAACTTGCCTCAACACACCTGCCTTGGTGTTTCTAGTATACGTTTTAAAACCTTAATTAGCTTGTTTAGGTGTGTTTGATTAGGGTTGGAGGTAAAATCTGCAGGACACCGGCCCTCCAGGAACAAGTTTGGTGACCCCTGGTGTAGATTGTGTCAAAAAGCTTAACATATATAAAGTTCTAGTATATTGAAACTGCTTCAGTTCAGTTTTCAAAGTTGAAGTTCAGTGTAATGTAAATGTCATTGCTGAAAGCCAAAACACTGAAGAGCAAATTTAACAATGCGCAGCACCATAGATGGTAGCATAATGTTCCCAAAGTTCATAGCAATACTTTAATATAAAAGTTGCACGTTTTTGAGCTTTGTTTTCAAATGAGCATGACTGTGTGCTTTGAAAAGGGAGGGGTTCTGCTGGAGTGTTTGAGTTTATTCTCAAGGCTCTCTGAGGTCCTTGATGAACTGCTTGCTTTGCAGTGTTTATATATCACCTCTCGCTGCTCTGCGTCTGGAGGGTGGACGTGTGACTTTGTATCTCAGTTCTGCTCTCTCTCTCTCTCTCTCTGTCAGGCTGTGGGCAGTGACGGAATCCGGGTCATGATGGAGAGTGCCCTGACAGCCAGGGACCGGGTGGGTGTGCAGGATTTTGTCCTGCTGGAGAACCACACCAGCGAGGTGGCGTTCATTGAGAACCTCCGCAAACGCTTCAAGGAGAACCTCATTTATGTAAGAGCTGCTGTCTCTCTTCTGTTCACTCAAACATTAAATTCATTCATTCATCAAAGCAAGACATTTTAAATCTGTATAACTGTCTTTTTTGACGGAACATAAAGTAATATGTTTTGTTAGGATAGGTTACCCCAAAGTTTAAATATACTTGCTATTTACCACTCTCATATGGTTCCAAACATTTTCTTTCCTCAGTTGAATACAAAAGAAGGAAACTGGTAGCCATTTAGATTCATATTAGGGGAAAATAGCGTAACACTTTATAATTACACACTATGAACCATTTATTAAGCAATAGCAAATAGTGAATTCATTATCTGTTAAGTATTAACTATTAACATTAACAAACGTTAGTAAGCAGTTTATTACTGTAGCTACAAATGCTGTATTCTTGACGTATAACCACATTTATAATGTGCCTAATAATTGTATTTTTATCATTTGTTAATGATTCATTTTTCATTACTAAATAAGTATGGCATTATTTACAAATCAGTTATTTAAGCATTTATTAACATACATAATAACCATTTCTATATGCCTGAAAAATAAGATGTATAAATGTTGATTTCAGTAGTTTATTAATCATTTACTAACTCATTCTGAATTATCTTAAAAACCTCCAACTACTCTAAAATACAAATGGTTTGTAAATAACGCAATGCTTAATTTAGTCATGATAAATTAATCAGTAACAAAGTATGAAAATACAATTATTAATGTGGCTGTAAGTCAAGAATACTGCATTAAGCTGCACGTATTTAGCTTACTAACGCTTATTAATGTAGAGGTAATGCTTAACAAATAATGAATTCACTATTTGCTATTGCTTTGTAAATGGTTCATAGTGTGTAGTTATAAAGTGTTACCGAGAATTCATATGAATTATAAATCATTTTTATATTTTGGTTATTTTACAGTTAATTTGAGTTATTTAACAATGGGCAAAAAGGCCAAAAGAATGAATGAATGTTCTACAAAAGAAAGAATTGACAAATTTGTTATGATGGGAATGTGAGTGTATGAGTTTTATGTGAACTCCAAAGCTTATATCCTAGAGTGTTCATTTGATTATTATTGCATTTCTTTTTCAGACATACATCGGTTCAGTGCTGGTGTCTGTAAATCCCTACAAAGATTTGGAGATCTACACTAAACAGCACATGGAGAGATACAGGGGTGTCAATTTCTATGAAGTGTCGCCTCACATGTAAGCCATCTTTATTACCCATGGTTCTGCTCTCTTCTAGAGAATGGCTACTCCTTTTATTTTCTAAACAACAGCTACAGTGGGTTTATCAATCATCAAGTTTTGATAGTTGTATTCTTTCTTTAGCATAAAATACAGCAGATATTAAATGCACACATGAAGTTTGACAAATAGATATTGTAAAAGAAAAGGCTGGTCCACTACGATATCATATTTTGACCTTTAGTTGATGTGTAATGTATGTGTGAACATAAACAACATCTCTGAATGTCTGACATTGGCTTTTACAGAGTTAACTTAGCAAAGCCTAAAGCGAACAAATTTGTTGACTTCAAAAAATTACATGGAGGCTAGTGAGATCACAAATGCTTCAGGTTGCAAAAGTGCTTACAATTTAATTATGTTCTAGAGAATTTTAATAAAGATGTAGCTCTAGCATTCGACAAAGGCTAGCTTCCAAAATCTCTCCCAGTTCAGTTCTGCATTCGCCTAAAAACTCCTCCAACCATAATAGCAGAAGCTGTGGATTGTGAGCCACAACCTGTGAGTGTTTTTATTTGTTAAAATTGATCAACTACAGGCATAGTTTCTAGCAGTATGTTGTAGCAAGGACGTAAATAAGGATGTAAACAACAGGAAATGCTGTTTGGCACTGTTAACAATTAAGCTACAAATTTATATTTATCAGTCAAACCGCTGTAAACACCCATACTCTCAGCGCTGCAGTGTCTCTCTATGCGGCCACTTTCCCTGCATTCTATATCTCAAATAACAAACTCACAAAAGAAATGTGAACGTTTCCTATTTCTTACACATGCATATTCCCAATATATGTGAAAGACACTTGTCAGGTTTTATTTTAGAGAGAAGACATGAGGTTCAGCTGTGTCCTCTTGTGTCATTTTCTGTCTGATTCAGGCCCAAACTGATACGGCTATCTGCTTCTCTGACTGACTGTTTACACAGCGCAAAAGCGCATGCTTGTATGGGGCTTGACACTTTTCCTGGTGATGTGGAGCCGATCCGCGAATCACAGCACATTATGTTAGCTGACCAATCAGAGCTTCTTGAGGTCGGGGTTTTCAGAGGAACTTGGAAATATGACAGTGGTTATCATGTTAGAAGAGTAGCTGTATATAATTAAATATGAAAAAATAACACGAAGCATGAGCACACATTGCTTTGCATCTTACAAACAAAACCAAGCCTTAAAAATACACTGTGGACCACCCCTTTAATAAATAAATAGTGATTTTTATATAATAATAATAAAAATGTATACAAATATTGCATTATAGCTTAATAAATATATCAAATATATAATAATGTTTCATTTATAATAAATTTGTTGTAATTCTTCTTTGAATTGCGAATTATGTGAATTTGTAGCATTATTTATGAAAAGGATTGCTTTATTAATTCATTTTTTTTGTAATTCTTGGCAATAAATATATTTTTCTTAATTTCTTTTTTATTGCTTTAATTGAATGAAGTTAAAATCCTGTAAAAAATAAAACATGACCTATATGTAATTATTAAAACCATGCATCCATGTGAAACTAATAGCTCAAAATCCAATATTCATCCAGGTTTTAGGCCAACAAAATGAGCACTTTTGTTAAATATTCATGATTAAAAATGTATATGAAACATGTTTTTGATTTCTATTTGTATGCCAAATATGCAAAATGACCTGATAGTTTGTTCTTTTTGACTAAGTGAAGAGGAAATTACTTTTTATTTTATAGCAGTAGTCGTTTATTATTTCCGTTTGTATTATTATATGTAATATTATTTATAATAATTATTTATTATTATTATATGTCTATTATTATAACTTTTTTCTGTTTTATAATATTAGTTTTGTGTTGGTCTAATAGTATTAATAATGTTAGTAATAGTAGTGTATTATTGTTTCAGTGTAAAATCAAAACTAGCAAACATTTTGAATAAAATATTAAGTAAGCAGTAATATTACTTGATTTATTATTATTATTATTATTATTAAGTATTTGACAGTTTGAATGCATTTTAATTTATGTAATTCAAGCTGATTGTTCTTTCTTTTTGACTTCTGTGAGTGAAGAGGAAATTCCTTTGGACTCACTATGAGGAATGTTAAGGACTATAAGTTTTGCTTCAGTTAAAATGTTCATAGACTCTTATCTGTAAGGTTCATATGTGGGAGCTTACAGCTATCAGAAGTCATATAAAGTTGCAGTAGGATGACCGTACGCCCACTGTTGCACGGATCTCATCTCACACTGATAGCAGATGTGTAAAAGTGATGAAAGTGTTATCTCAGCTCTCATACAGGCTGAAAAAACACAGACCGTCTCTGGTGTCACCCTGCTCTTTCCTCAAGAAAATGATTGTCAGCTTCATTTGCACTCTGCGCTTTTCCACTGTTTGCACAACACTTTTCTGACAGCTGAACATCCATTTAACTCCTCCTAAGGAATGTGTTATTTTAATGATCTCAGAAAGCAAATCTTAGGCAACTTTGCGCATTCTGTATAGACGGAAAGAGATCAGAAATATTTAGTTACATTTTAATGAAATGCATGTACTGCTAATTAAATATACATCTATACTATTAAAATAAGTTTTGATTTAATAATAAGTTGAAAAAGTAATACACGTTTTTTATTATTGTTGGTAAATCTGCACTGATAGAATTAACTAAAGCTTAAAATTAATTCTTAAACAGTACTTGAATAAATAACGCGTTTTAAATTAATTTAAAACTGCATTTCTAATCTATAAAGACATTTAATTTGTATAAATATACTTTAGTAATTTTTGTTTTTGGATGTATTATTATTTGTGTGTAGTGCCACAGTACATTTATTAGCAGTAGTAGTTTAATATTTGCTTTTATATTTTTTGTTTTTATTTTTTTCTAACCTCGTTTTTTAGAATATCGTTTTTGTGTGGGTCTAATAGTATTGTTAGTAGTAGTAGTAGTAGTAGAAGTAGTAGTAGTAGTAGTAGTAGTAGTAGTAGTACACTCAAAAAATACTTTTGCTGCTTGTTTAAGTTGAAATAGCACAAGGTTTTTTTGGAACAACTTCATTGTTTTATGGACAATCCAACTACATTTTTAAAAACAATTAAGTGACCTTAATCGATTTGTGTTGGTCAAACATGAAGGATTTTTTTATAGTAAATTTTTATTATAAAATAAAAATGTTTGTAGTTGTGTATTATTGTTTTGCTGTAAAATTAAAACTAGTAAACATTTAATAAAATATTAATTAAGCACTAATGTTACTTGCTGATTATTATTATTAAATATTTGCTTACAGTTTTGTGTTTTAATTTATGGAATTTGAGCTCATTTAATTATTAAAATTAAATAATAATTATAAAATTAATTATTCAAATTTATGTTTTTAACAACTAAACATTTCTAATATGCATACTTTCATCTAAATATCGATATTATTTTCTTGATTATTATTATTTAAATAATTCAAATTTGTAAAGTGTGGATTGTTAAATAAAATAAACAATCAAGTATTTGTGATCATAACCTATTTCCTATAACCCTATATACAGTTATGCAGTGGCTGATAATGCATATCGCTCCATGCGGACTGAGAGACGGGACCAGTGCATCCTCATCTCGGGTGAAAGCGGTGCCGGCAAGACTGAAGCTTCCAAGAAGGTTCTTCAGTACTACGCTGTCACCTGTCCTGCCAGTGATCACGTGCAGACTGTCAAAGATCGCTTGCTACAATCCAACCCTGTGCTGGAGGTACACATGCACTCAGCACTTCTAATCCAATGATTTTCATGGCATACAATTTTACTAATCCCCAAGTGCCAGCATGTAGTGGAGAGATCAGCACAGGCTGTAATTCCTGCCCTGGGCTGCTGTCATTGCACAAAATACTCCAAATGACTCCCAGCGATGCCAAGGAAAAGAGCAGAGTTTATTCTGAGAAGCCGGTAGTCCCGCTAAACCTCTCCAGTAATTATATGCCACAGTTACTATCTGTACGATAAGATTGGAACATACATGAAGACGTCTAAAAATGGGATAGGCCAAAGGAAGTGGCGCAGACGGCCAGTTTTACCAGATGTTTTGCAGATGTGCTGGAAACTGGCAGTGTGTGCACATCTAGAGTGTCTTTTTTTCTCTGCCATTCTGAATTGTTCTATTCATCTATATTCCATCATTGTTTGTTTTCTCAGGCCTTTGGAAATGCAAAAACTTTAAGAAATGACAATTCCAGTCGCTTTGGGAAATACATGGACATTCAGTTTGACTTCAAGGTGAGGTTACTCATGTTTAAAAGGTTATTTCACATATTTGCTGGTAATTTACTCCCCTCAGGTGATCTTAAGCTTTTTTAATGGTCAGTACAGTATGATTCGGCTTAGCATTGCTTCAGTTTGGTTTCGCCCAACAATACAACAGTGGCCTGCCGATGACTTTTTCAATATAGCAGGTTTGGTGTCTTTTGTGGTAGTGATGATTCTCTCTGACCACATTTTGGTAATGAACTGTTTGCTATTGTTGGCATCCAGCATTCTTTTTCCTGCAGTCACTGATCCACAAAACTAAAGCCAACTCAATCCTTAAGGCATCCAGACAGTGGATGCCCTGCACACATGACAGTTGGAAGTACACACTGGATGTGCACATTCGCACCACATTCTGACTGGGCACCACAGACGCCACTGATGTACCCGTACCGTTATGCCTACCCTGACATAAACGTATGGTTACCATTCTAAAATGAATAGCGCAGCCGGTGTGTCACCCCCTTTATGATGGTCTTGCTGCAGACAGTTACAACCCTTTTTGCATCCTTGTTGAAACTCACACTGCTAGCTATCAAAGATTAATGTTAATTTGGCAAGCTGAACGCATTCTGTACTGTACAGGAGACATAGAGGAGATTGATTGACAATGGTTGACAGCCAATCAGGACGTAGAACACAATGTGTTGTAAAAAATAAAATAAAATAAGCATGTCAAATTGTATTAAAAAAAATCTGCAAAACTGTGAGGCCGCGTGTTATAGCGAGGGACCACTATACATTTTTTTTGTCGGTTGAACTGTCTCTTTAAGATGTACGTGAATTGTTTTCTTCAGTAGAACATTAAAAGATTATTTTTAGCTCAACCTGTGGTCTTTGGAGATGCTGGCCCAGTCCAAAAAACACATTCAAGAAAAATAAAATATCTGTGGTCAATCTGTGAAAGAAATCAAAGATTATTTATAACATTATTAACTTTAATCCACACAGTGCACTCAGTCTGTAAATTATAGTTAATAACGTTGTAAATAGTTTTAAAGCGTTTTTGCACAGAACAAAGTATTTTGACTCTCAAAGTGCAGATTTCAGTTAACCATCTTGTTTCATGTTATACTGAAGAAAATGTCCTCTACATATTGGATGGCCAGGGGTGGATTTAACCAATAAGTTAGGTAACCGGCTGCTTGGGACCCCAGGAAATATGTGAAAATACCTAGAAGTGTAAATTATACCTATACATTATATATATCATCATTGTCTATATCATAACATATTTTGTATAGTGAGGGTCTAACAAGTAAAATGTTCATGGAATTATTACATCTGCAAAAATGTGTCTCCTACCCCCATCATGAAGCATTCCAGCAATCAAATTGGGTACAGATGTAGTTTTAAGATTGCATTAAAATAAAACAAAGAAGAAAAAGCAGCACAATAAATAAGTAAATAAATAAAAGTACAAAGGGTGCATTTTAGGACTGTTGGCCCCCATGGTCAGAATTGCTTAGAGCCTCCAAGTCACTAAATCCACCTCTGTGGATGGCCTGTGGGTAAGTGAACTACATTTTCGTTTTTTGGGTGAACTATCTAGTTTACAGTATTCTAATTGTTGTTTATTTTGTTTAGGAGGTCTCCTATAGTAGGTTTACAACAGGTGACGCATCATTTTCTCATAAAATGCATAGCTTTTCTCTCATTGTCTGAAACAGCTATGCAAATTTATTACAGACCCGAAGATGACTAAAATAATTTGACAGTAACGTTCAGAATCACTTCTTTCTTTGGGAGAACAAGAAAATTTATTGTGCTCTTTTACATTCACAATCAGTTATTTTAACACTGCAATACAAAAGCATTATTGTTGTTATCAACTGAAACTTACATCTCAACTGCTGTGATCCACTTTCTGTCGATGCACCTTTACCCCTACAATGCTCTTCTTGGTTTGGGGATTTGCCTGCATCTGCTTGTGTGTTCTTGTTCTTGTGCTTGTGTGTTGAATTATTCGTGCTTGCATGCGTGTCAGAAACCCGGTATTATCCCCTCTGCTTCTCCCTTTGGGTGTCCCCGTTGGCAGGGTGCTCCAGTCGGCGGTCACATCCTGAACTACCTGCTAGAGAAATCCCGCGTCGTGCACCAAAGCAACGGCGAGAGGAACTTCCATATCTTTTATCAGCTCATCGAAGGAGGAGAGGACGATCTGCTTAGGAGACTAGGCCTGGAGAGAAACGCCCAACAGTACCAGTATCTGGTCAAGGTGAGAGACTGACCTCGCTTGATATGATACAGCAGATGTCTATAGAGAAACCAAAACTGGCTTAAAAAAAAAGCTGGGGTTTTGTAGCCATTTCACATGCTTCAGATTCAACTCATTTCCTGCAAAAAATACTTTTATAAAACAAGTATAAAAAAAAAGTGTAAATAAAAAAGTATAAATACTTTTACAAAAAATAGAGTTTTGCTTACCTCAAAATAATCTACCACTGGGGTAAGCAAAATAACTTCTTTAAAAAACATTGACAACTTCTTTATTTATATAGTACATGCATTAAAACATTATAAATATATGTTGAACAAGATAAATAAAACAGATTTGAATTCAAATTTCAGCAAACAAACACCCTTTATTCGTTTATTCCTTTATTAAGATGTTCATGGTAATGTTTACTTTCACCGTTTCATTTAGGGAAACTCCTGAAATAAATATGTTATATCTCTGAACTTTATTAATAAATCTAAATAAAATGTTGCGCTTCCCACCTCCAGTCACAATGACTTTTGGGACTTCCAGAGCGAGTTCAGTGCTCAGGTCTGCATCAGTGCATCCTCGATATCAAGATATCACATCCAGGAAGTTTCACGTGTCCTCTGTTCTTGCGGTCTTGAGTATTGGAACTGAACTTTGGCTGCTAATGATGACGTTACATGAGAACACGAGGACGCAAGACCGCTGAAGAACGTATATTGAGAAACAGCCTTTAGCTCCAACTTGCCTCAACACACCTGCAAGGATGTTCTAGAAAGCCTAGTAAGAGCTTGATTAGCTAGCCCAGGTGTGTCTGATTGCGGTTGGAACTAAACTTTGCAGCACACCGGCCCTTCAGGACAGAGTTTGTACATGCCTGCTGTAACTACTTAATATTCTCATTCTTGGTGTAAAAGTAAAATCACGTTTTATTTTGACTCATACAAAGTATTTTGAGCTATTGCCAAAAAGCTACCTGTGCAACATAGGGCTAGTTTTGTCATCCAGGGATACATTTCTATTTTCAAACCTTATTTACAGTTGGCTAATCTTTTTTTTTTACTTTTTACCCTAAGGCAGGTACAGTATTCATAATCAACACAAATATAAAAAACACCAATATATGTCACCATATGCGTTTATGTCAGACCTGCGTATGAGTATTCATCATAAACGGCATCATCAGTTTTCCGACAACTATGTAGGAATGTCCCTCTGTTGCTTCCCCTCGCTCCCCTGGTGTTTAATAGAGGAAGTCAAGAGCGGCCCCTCCTCCTTCGGTTTCCTCTGCTGCGATGAGTGATCGTGTGTGTGTGTGTATGTGTGTTTTTCAGGGTAACTGTCCTAAAGTGAGCTCAATTAATGACCGCAATGACTGGAAGACAGTGAGGAAAGCCTTGAGCGTCATCGGCTTCACTGATGATGAAGTGGAGGTATGACAACCGGCCAATCACAACACACATTGTGAAGAATGATTCAATGTTTTTCTCCAAGAAACAGAAAGGCTCTCTTTATGTATGCAAACAGTGCTTATTTTGGAAATGTGTTGTCTGAAATTGAACTTTACAAAGCACTGCAGGTCATTTTGAGTATTTCAAGTTTGCTAAACTTTAATTTTTAATATGCAAATGATGAAATAGTTTTCCCAGAGATGGGTTGCGGCTGGAAGGGCATCCGCTGCGTAAAAACTTGCTGGATAAGTTGGCGGTTCATTCCGCTGTGGCGACCCCGGATTAATAAAGGGAATAAGCCGACAAGAAAATGAATGAATGAATGAAATAGTTCATTAAACAAATTGATCTTGTGTTTAATAGGAGAATGAATACTCAATTTGAAATAAACGAGCCTTCAAAAACTATTGTAATTGAAAAGCCATGAAATGATAAATTGAAAAAGTCAAATTGAAATTGATGAAAGTAAAATTAAACACATAATTACACATATTTTGGAAGGTTTCATGGCCAAAAATCTTTTAATTGACATAAAACTGCATAAAAAACAATCTCCTGTGTTTAATTTGTGATATTTCCTCTCATTTGCACCCCTCTCTCTCTCCACAGGAGCTTTTGAACATTATTGCCAGTGTGCTACACTTGGGGAATGTCCAGTATGGAGGAGAGGACAGCGGCAGTGCCTACATCACTACAGACACACAGATTAAATACTTAGCCAGGGTAACAGGACGGCTTATTTATATTACTGGGCCACAGCCACATGTGCATGACTTCTGTGCTTATTTAAAACCTCTTACCATCTCTCTTTTCCTGAAATGACATGTTTTTTGACACTTTTTTGTTTCGTGTTTGTGATATTGCAGTTGTTAGGCGTGGATGGCACAGTTCTTAAAGAGGCTCTAACACATAAAAAGATTATTGCCAAAGGAGAAGAGGTATGCATGTAATGTTTACAGTGAAAACGCTGAGCCAAATATCTTTAAGTAGGGTAAAATGAAATTGGGGTCCTTGAAGGATCCATAATATGTTAAAAAATGTATATAAACATAGATTTGCATTAAATTATTGATATGAGTACACTACCTGACAAAAGTCTTGTCGCCTATCCAAGTTTTAGGTACAACAAATAATAAGTTGACTTCTAGTTGATCATTTGGTATCAGAAGTGGCTTATATGAAAGGCAAAGGCCTCTAGATTACGCTTATTTTACCAAAATAAAATATGATCATGCCTTGATTTTTAATTATTTAATCAGGACAGTAAAGTCTGACTTTGCTTTGACAAAAGTTTTGTAACTTAACAGAAATAATGTACAGTATAGAATATAAAGTCATGCTGCAGTGGGAAAATAATTATTATTGTGTAAGACTCCCCTGAGCTTGGAGGACTGCATCCATACATCTCTGAATGACTCAAATAACTTATAATTAAAGTCATCTGGCATGGCAAAGAAAGCGTTCTTGCAGGACTCCCATGATTTCATCAAGATTCTTTGGATTTATCTTCAATGCCTCCTTCTTCATCTTACCCAAGACATGCTCAAGAAGGTTCAAATCTGGTGATTGGGCTGGCCACTCCTGGAGCACCTTGACCTTCTTTGCTTTCAGGAACTTTGAGGCTGAAGTATGAGAAGAGGCGCTATCCTGCTGAAAAAATTGCCCTCTCCTGTGGTTTGTAATGTAATGGGCAGCACAAATGTCTTGATACCTCAGGCCGTTGATGTTGTCATCCACTCTGCAGATGTCTTGCACGCCTCCATACTGAATGTAACCCCGAACCATGATTTTTCCTTCACCAAACTTGACTGAGTTATTATTTGTTGCTCTTAGGACTGGAATTGTCAGGTAGTATATGTATAGAAAACACTATAATTTTAAGGTGATCAACATTTGGGAAAATTAACTTTTTTTTGCTTCAAAATATGCATTATTTGTATGAACCATGTTAAATAACACATTTGACAACATGAAGCAGTGCTTTTTTATTATAATAAATTTGAAAAGTTTTTTTAATATAACAATGTAATATGGACAGTTGACATGTAAACACTTTTGTTTACAACATGTAATAATTGTAATAAAGGAGTTTTAATATATTATTTCCAAAACAAAGTATATAATATAATAAAATATGACATAATATAATAAATATATTGATTAAAAAGTGAGTTTTTTTGTTTACTGTTGCACAGTTGGGCAGTAAAATATAGTATGTGTGTACAATGTATAATAATTGTCCTGAATATTTCCCATAATCCTACTGTGTGTTTGCGTTGCAGCTGATGAGTCCTTTAAATCAAGAGCAGGCCGCTTCGGCGCGGGATGCTTTATCTAAAGCCATATACGGGCGGACTTTTTCTTGGCTGGTCAACAAAATTAACGACTCTCTGGCCTTCAAGGTATGGACTCGTTCTGTCGTTAAATACACAGTCAGCACTATGACAGAGAGGCTAGTTGCAAAATGTAAATATATAGCGCTCTCATGTGGAGAAGACGTGTAAACGCGCACCATCTGATTACAGCAGTTTTCCGTTGGCTGTTTTTGGAACACAGTTTGGTCATATCATGTCTGTGTATGTTTAGTCTGAATGTCTTGCTTGCAGCTGCTTAATATTTCTGTGCTTTTAATGCATTGCAGGATGAGTCATTTAGCAGTAAGAACGCTTCTGTCATTGGCCTGCTGGACATCTATGGTTTTGAGGTCTTTCAGAACAACAGGTAGAGAATATCTAGGTTGTTATTGTATCACTGAGGAAATTTTTGGGCATTTAAAGGTTTGATGCATTTCTTTTTTTATTTCTGTATTTTTTTATTTTAGTTATGGTTAGTTTAGTTTTAAGTTTTTAATTTAATTAAAAAAAAAAGCAAAAAAGGTGTTAGTTAACAAATTTGTAAAATGTAATAACATTGGATGTATTCATTTATTTTACTAAAATATTATAAAAAAATAAATAAAAATTTCCAATATTGATATAAGTATTTAAAATAATTAAATGAAGACTATATTTATCCAGTCTTTTTTTTTAGTTTTGATAATTTTATTGTCCATAATTGTATTTATTTGTTTATTTTTTAGAAATCTATGAAGTTTATTTATATTTATTTATATATGTTTTTTTTTAGTTTTATCTTTTAGTTTAATTATTAGGTTAAACTAAACGAAAAAGATTTATATAATATATATATATATATATATATATATATATATATATATATAAATATATATATATATATTTTTTTTTTATTTTATTTTTTTACAACTAGCTGAAATAAAGTAAGTTTAACTTAAAATTAAATTTATATGTATTTGTGTAATTTTTTTGTTTAAAATTATTTCATGTGACAATTAACTTTTGTTAACTCATTTAACAAATTAACATTAATATTAATTAATATTAATTAATATAATTGATGGATTATTATATATGTCTATCAGTATTCAATATGGATTTAAGTATTTTAAACAATGAAATTGCATAAAAATGAATGCTTATTACCAGTATAAATAAGTGTTTTAACATTTCAGAAATCTAAATATTATTGTAATTATTTAAAATTTTATATATATATATATATATATATATATATATATATATATATATATATATATATATATATATATATATATAATGTTTTAATTTATGTATCTATAACTCAATTCTCCAAACAACTTATAATTTCTAACATTTATTTTATAGTAAAATTGTATATTAAATGTTTTATGCATGCCTGTGTGTGTATCATTATTAATATTATTAAATAATGTTGTATACATTTTCTAAAAATAAATTATCATTATTTGTTCAGTTATTTTGGAATCAAGCCAAAATAGTTAAGTTACATTTTAGTGTGTCATCAGGCAAAATATTTGTGTGTTATTTGGTTAATTGTCAAAGATATCTCACTCTGGCCCTCTTTGTCCTTAAAGTTTTGAGCAGTTTTGCATCAACTATTGTAATGAGAAGCTGCAGCAGCTCTTCATTGAACTGACCCTGAAGTCAGAGCAGGAGGAATATGAAGCTGAGGGAATCACGGTGAGGATTTCCCGACACACAGACGTCTTAAACGCATCGATACTGTATGACTCACACATTCATTGTTAGAATGGGTTCTTACCCACTGGCCCTCAGTATGGGCAATGTGTTGTGGGCTTTATTCTGTGCTGTTAGTATGGTAATGCTGACCTCTCACACTGCAGATAAAACATTTTGACGCATGCAAAGTTAAAGAAAGGCCGTTTGTGGCCATGACATAATGGTGGGCTCGGAATGCTTGGGATTTGCATTGCTTGAATTTCCTAGCAAAAGCAACATCACAAATGTTTTCCACTGATTTTGAATGCATTAAATGCTCATGTTTTTCTGTTTTTCCAGTGGGAGCCTGTGCAATATTTTAACAACAAGATCATTTGTGATCTTGTGGAAGAAAAGTTTAAAGGAATCATTTCCATCTTGGTGAGAATTCCCTCCATGAGTGTCCATTAACAACATTTTAAGTCTTTGCTTAAACTGAAAAATATTGAGCTTTTTTTCCCTGCAGGATGAAGAGTGTCTCCGGCCTGGAGATGCCAGTGACATCACCTTCCTGGAGAAGCTTGAAAACACTGTCGGAGGCCACGCCCACTTCCTGACGTCAGTAGCATTTTGTCATTGTAATATTGTACTTAAACTCATATATTGAGCATCTGAAAAGCATGGTTGTATATTTCAGGCATAAGCTTGCTGATGGAAAAACCCGTAAAGTGATGGGTCGTGAGGAGTTCAGACTGATCCACTACGCAGGAGAAGTCAACTACAATGTGAAGGGTCAGTTATTGAACAGAGGGCAGGGGAAAGTGAAGAGACTGAAAAAGAGTGTGTGCCGCTGAACAACAGCGAGCTCTTATGCCCACAGAGATTTCCCAGGCCGAGCGCTGACTGACGTCATTGTGTATTTTCCATTTTCTAGGCTTCCTGGACAAGAACAATGATCTCCTTTTCAGAAACCTGAAGCAGGTGAGGGAACAAAAAAATAATTATAGGAAAACTAGACTGCATTTGTGCTGAAATTGCCGTGATTATTAACTGTGTAACTGTGTCTGTATGTTTAGGTCATGTGTATGTCTGAAAACAAAATACTCAATCAGTGTTTTGACAGAGAAGAGCTCTCAGACAAGAAACGCCCAGAGACGGTACATATCTATCTGTCTGTATATCTATCTATCTATCTATCTATCTATCTATCTATCTATCTATCTATCTATCTATCTATCTATCTATCTATCTATCTATCTATCTATCTATCTATCTATCTATCTATCTATCCATCTATCCATCTATCCATCCACCCATCCCTGTCTTACTTTTACATTTTATTTATTTTTTATCTGTCCATCTATCCATCCATCTATCTATCTATAGTTCATTTGTTCATTCTATTGTTTGCTCTCTCTATTGTCCTGTGTATATAAATCTATCTATGTATCTATCAATAGATTGTCTATCAATCGTTCTATCATTCTATCTGTTGTTCTGCCTATGTCTGTTCTATTCTCATCCATTCATATATCTATCATTCTCTCTCATTCTATCTATCCATTGTTCTATGTACTCTTTCGTCAATCATTCCATCCATCTATCCACCCATACATCATTGTATCTATTGTTTATCCATCCATCCATCATTTTATAGTTCCATCCATCCAATGTTCTATCGTTCCATCCATCCATCCATCCATCCATCCATCCATCCATCCATCCATCCATTTATCAGTTCACTCACCCATTGTATCTGTTGTTCCATTCTTTCGATTATTTCTATCCATTCATCCATTATTTTATAATTCCATCAATTATTAGATCATTCCATCCATTATTCCATCATTCCATCCATCCATCCATCCATCCATCCATCCATCCATCCATCCATCCATCCATCCATCCATCCATCCATCTATACATCATTCTGTCAATTTAGCTGTTTATCTGTCATGTTGTTCTACTTATAACATTTTTATCTATCTATCTATCTATCTATCTATCTATCTATCTATCTATCTATCTATCTATCTATCTATCTATCTATCTATCTATCTATCTATCTATCTATCTATCTATCTATCTATCCATCCATCCATCCATCCATCCATCCATCCATCCATCCATCCATCCATCCATCCATCCATCCATCCATCCATCCATCCATCCATCCATCCATCCATCCATCCATCCATCCATCCATCCATCCATCCATCCATCCATCCATCCATCCATCCGTATTACTGTTAATCATTCTGTTTTCTGGTAGTATTATTATTGTGAATCAGTGCGATGTTTATTATCTCATGTATTCATAAAGTTTAGCATCTTGGCCTGTGTCCGTGGTATTAAGAATCTCTGCCACCCACATTATAAGGAATGCCCTGGCTCTGTGGCACCCCCCATGACCGAACACAACCCTGAAATCCCCCCATCCCATTGCAGTGCCCACACTGCAGAGCTCCATTGGTTGAGTGTGGGTGGGCTGCTGTTTAGTTGTTTGCTTGCATTGTTGACCACTGGCTTCTCCCACATTGTCACTGCCTGACTGGACTCTCACACTGCCACTTGTGTTCCCTCACTCACTGCCCATCTCTTTATTTTCCTGTACCTTTGCACCGTTGGCTCGCTGCAACCAGGCAGCAACCCAGTTCAAGAACAGCCTGGCGAAGTTGATGGAAATCCTGATGTCTAAGGAGCCATCTTACGTGCGCTGCATCAAGCCTAATGATGCCAAGCAAGCAGGTTAGTGATCAATCTTCTATACTCTTTTTACAGATTTAGTGCTTTCACTTTTTTTCTCTGATTTCTTTCAGGAATTTGCAGTGTTTTCATGGTATTTACGACAATATTGTAATATTTTGATGTAAGGTAGCATGGTTTACTGGTACTATGGTAGTACCTCACAGTACTATGGCTCCAAAATACTGGTGGTGCCACTGTAGTTTGTAAACGGTAGTATCGTCATCAATGGTCTATCTACAATAGATAATGCATGTAGAAAAGTCACAAAATGCTCACATTTGTGCAACAATAGACCATTTTATTTTAATAGTCTATGGAGCTCTTTAAGGTTGCAAAACTACGTAGAATTTGCGCCTTTTATGGTAGCCTATTGCACCTTTTCTAACGCTTTAGTTTGAACGCACATCTGAATCTGTTCATTTCTGTTCCTGTCAATATGATTTAGTAGCTACAACAACCATGATAATATCTTTCTTACCCGATGTGACTGAAAAAAAGAAAAAAACAATAGATAAAACCTAAAATAGCAACAGGAAACATTGAAACAATTGACCACTTCATACAGCCCAGTTGTGTTGGAAAAATGCTCTTTTGTAACAAATTTCATTTGGTAAAATTTGTATCTTTATTTTAATATATTTTTTTTGTTGGTCAGTTATCTACAAAATAAACAAAAAGAATGAATAAAATTTAGGTGAAGTGAGGTGCATATAATACGTTTTACAATAATAAGGGAGTTATTAACTAAATTCAAATAGGCCTATTATAACATATAGTAATTCTGACAATTTTCTTTATAATTTGAGTTATGAGTTACAGTATCGCAATACTAATTATGATTATCATATTTCAGCTGGTATAGTATCATAAGATGAATTAATGGTATTGCGACAACCATACTTTGTATTGCATTGTTCTGAATTATTGGGATATTTCTATATACGGTATTTATGTGATTCTCTAAGGTATAACTATGATTGTATGACTTGTTGTCATGCTTAATCAACATTTAAAAACAATGAAAATGAAAAATGTTAATTAAATTAAAATTATTAAACTAAAATACATATTTATATTTATAATAATAAATTATTTATATGAGTACACCCCTTTTTGAAAACGAATATTTTATCCACATATAGGTAAAATATTTTGGTGGATTAGAACAAAACAGATTTATTAAACAGATATATTTATTCAAATTATATTTTAGTCACAGAACGTCTTTAAAAATGGACAAATAATACATTTAAATTGATGTAAAGAATTGCACAAAAAAAACTACAAAATGTTATATATTTTTTGTTTCTCTAGATTTTTGCTCCTTTTTTAATTAAATTTTAATTTAATGAATTATTTTTCCCTAACATAAATTTGAGCTACTAATTTTGGACCATTATCATAATTTATTTTGTCAGATAAGCTCCAGATTTGGCTTCACTACTGACTAATCTATTATATATGCACAAATATAATATTGTAAAGCTTCCTTTAGATAATATTCATTTAAATTAGTTTTAAAGTACATTTATTTTATTATAAATATATAAGTACGTTTAGAAATATAATGCTAAATCTTTTCATTTTTAAGACCAAAGTTTTTTAGTGCTATGTTCTTCTTCTCCATATGTGGTGCAATGGTTTCATTGTTCACACTGCAGTCATTCGTTCCTTCACTCTTATTCTCTCTTACTTAATAAGCTTCTTTGTTTTGCCATCCTCTTTGTTGATAGTTGTTGGTGTCTTTTGTTTGTTAAGCTGCTCTTATCCTCAACTGTAGAAAATATAATGGATTTACACCTACATTACATGTATATTTTATATTATTAAACTGAAATACTTCTCTCTACAGGGCGTTTTGATGAAGTCCTTATTAGACACCAAGTAAAATATCTTGGTCTGATGGAAAACCTTCGGGTGAGGAGAGCTGGCTTTGCATACCGGCGTCGCTACGAGACCTTCCTACAGAGGTTGGCATGTACATACTGAAAAAACATCAATCTAGACTAGTGCTAATGCTAATAAAACATACCTCATAATAACCCACAATCTGCTTTAATTGTCATTCATGCTATCCTGAAGAATTTTAGCTGATTTAGGCTGTTCTTTTCCAGCATGCCTCCACTAAAACTAAAATTTAGTAGTAAACTATGGTAAATTTGACACTTTCTAATCCTCTTTTAAAAGCTCTGTACTTCCTGTGGACTACAGTGGTAAATAAGGTCAAAGGGAACCAACAGTGTGTCAAAAACAGTGGTTCCTGTTTCTGCTTCACATGTGGGTAGATTAGTGGGTAATGCTGGTGTTTTCCTCTTTCAGGTATAAGTCTTTGTGTCCGGACACCTGGCCAAACTGGGACGGCCGTCAAGTGGATGGTGTGTCCACACTTGTCAAGCACCTCGGCTACAAGCCCGAGGAGTACAAACTCGGCAGGTTGGTTACAGAGATAAAATATTTCAACCTTTTTTATGCTATTAAAATCTGTATGTTTCACAAAAAGGCCTGAAGAATCATTATGTTGTGTTATGAAACAGTTAGGTCTTTTTTAACTAAAATCATAATGTATATGATTAGCAACTTAATATATTTACTATATACATACTATTACTAATACATATATTTATATTTTATATGAATAAAAATGTTCAGTATTGATGAGAAATCTTATTGTAACATATCATTGTAGGAAATGTATAATGTATAATCTGGGAATTCCCAAGAACAACCACTTTGGAATGAATGGAATTTTTATTAAATTCCTTTGAATATTCAACTAATGATGAATGTCTTAATTGTCATATTTATGACACCTAAAGGTGCTCCAGACCGTACATAACAAAATGGTGTAAACATATGTTTGTAACTTTTTTTTAAATTGTATCTCTTAAAACTCTTTTAAAAATGAGTTGTTAATCTATCAAGTATTTTTCAGATCAGTTTGCTAATCAAGCCAATCACTCTTTCGTTGGGTAGCCAATTATTCCTGTGGTTATTTTACCAGTAAACAATAGCTGAAAGAAACCATATTTTGAACAAAACTACATCAGTTGCTTATCATCTATACATTTTCTGTGTCTACTGGTCAAAACAGGCCTGAACGCATTGCTAGGATTAATGTTTTAACATTAGTATTATTCATCTAGAACCAAAATTGATGGAGACAACTTTCAATGTAAATAACAAAATTAAACTTTAACTCTAGAACTTCTATGTTAAGCTGCTTTAACACAATCTAGATTGTAAAAGCGCTATAAAAATAAAGATGAATTGAATTGAATGTATTTTTTAAAGGACCAAAATCTTCATCCGCTTCCCCAAGACCTTGTTTGCCACTGAAGACGCACTAGAAGTCAGGAAACACAGTCTTGGTATGAGCTGTTTTAAATACAAATCATGCCCACTGGGTGGTCTGCCTAATGTTAACCTTCACAAACTGTCCCTCAGCCACCCAACTTCAGTCATCCTGGAAGGGCTACAGTCAAAAAACCAAATACCAAAAAATGCGGCACTCGGCTGTCTGGATCCAAGCCTGGTGGAGAGGAATTCTGGCCCGCAGGGCAGCAAAGCGCAGGAGAGAGGCTGCCGACACCATTCGCAGGTCTGTCATACAAGATGGTCATCCTTAAAAGGGACCTATTATGCTCCTTTTTACAAGATGTAAAATAAGTCTCTGATGTCCCTAGAGAGTATATGTCGGCTTGAAATACAACACAAATAATTGTTTTAAACTCTTTAAAACTGGATCGTTTAGGCTTTGATCCTAATTGTGCCATTTTGGTGACCATTTTGGTGTAGCCTTTGTCTCACCATAGCGGCAGATTTAAAACTCTAAAGGTGGACGCTGCTTCTCGCTCAGGGCTGTTTATGCTAATGATGGAGAGATCGTCACTAATGAGCGGGGCTTTCCCCTTCTGATAACATGTAACAAAGGGAGAATGTGAATCAAACTGTTTCTGCAGACTGTTTTAATCAAGTGTGATTAAAAAAAATAAATTATTAGTTTTGACCAATAGAGGCTGGCTATATTCACACACTGTTGCCCCACAACTGTGCTTAACCCCCCTATAAAAGTGTTTTTTGCATAATAGGTCCCCTTTAAAGTTGAAGAATGAAAGTTTCAATGTTTATTTTGCTAGCTTACATTATCTGAGTTGCGTGGATAAGAATAACAAAGTGCTCACTGATCATTATCAGAAATGTTCACAGCATTTGTATTAAATCTATTTTGATTGATTGGAATTTAATCAAAGTGTATCAAGAGCTTGTGAATCAGAATAAAATTGAAGTGGAACAGTGAATCAATACCTAGCCTGATCAGTACAGCCAGTAATGCTGTTATTCTGTCCAGTAAGAGAGCTTATTCTCACTGCAGCTTTTGTTTTTCACACGTTACAGGTTCATTAAAGGCTTCATCTACCGCCACCAGCCGCGATGCCCAGAAAACGAGTACTTCCTGGATTACGTTCGCTACTCGTTCCTGATGAATTTGCACAGGTGCCAGCCTAAAACAGTTCTGGATAAGAGCTGGCCAACACCACCTCCAGCACTGGTCGAGGTAAGATTATCTCAGTCAGGAATCAGCCATGTTTTCCTCCAGATCTGAGCTGAGAGATTCAATCTTTTCTCTCAGGCTTCACAGCACCTCCGCAAACTCTGCATGCAGAACATGGTGAGGAAGTACTGCAAGAACATCAACCCAGAATGGAAGCATCAGGTCTGACATCTTATGAGATATTTGTTTGCATTTTGTTTATTCATTATTTCATATTAAATCTTTTGTTTATTAACTTCTTTGTTGTCTATTAGAAGTAAAGATTGAGCCCAGAATTTGTTTTAACATTTAAATTAAATTAAAATTGAATTGAATTGAATTTTTTATTTGTTGTGTAATGTAATGTAATTGTTAAGTTCTTGGAAATTCTATAAGATAATATAAAATCATATAAATCATATTTATAGGACTTTTTTTATTCACTTGATTGATGGACCTAAATAGAAATTTTGGAGGCAAAATTGATTAAAATATTTTATTTAATAAAAAATGTCATTGTTATATTTATGTCTTAAATTTTATTGTTATGTTTAATGCCGTTTGTTTATATTTGAATATTTACTTATCTATTTTTTGCCACCTGCATATTGAGCTCTAACTTAAAATGTAAGCAATCTGTCTCATTTTGAAATTTACTGTATATATCGTATTCATTACAAATTATTAATGATTTTATTTTATTCTTTATTTATTTTTTTATAAATGTATTAATTCATTCAACTATAGCTATCTAGATACTGGACATTAAGAAAAATGTTGTCAACTTCTGCACACATGTTTAGTTTTTAATTATTATTTTTATTATTATTATTGACCAAATTTAGTTTGTTATTGATTATTCATTATTTAGTCTACTGCAAATTAAGCATTATTATCTGCTGTTTCAGATGGAGCAGAAAGTGGTTGCGAGTAAAATCTTTAAGGACAAGAAGGACAACTATCCTCAAAGCGTCCCAAAACTTTTTGTGAACACAAGGCTCAGTGAGTTTTCAGTCACTATTATCAAGCTCAATTTAGAGATGCGTTGTATATTCTAAATGTTCTTTTGTGTGTTCAAAAGATGGTGAGGACATCAATCCTAAAGTGCTGCAGGCTCTGGGAAACGAAAAGATGAAGGTCAGTTGAATTCTGGACAGGCTATTTTGGAAATCTTTCTTTAATGTGATTCAAAAATCCATGAATCTGTCATTTTACATAATTAATTGTGAAATATTGCTTATTAGCCTACTTTGTTTCTTCAGAAAACAAAACAAAAATCCCAAAATGTGAAGCATGTGATCATAGACAGTATGTGAGTCTGCTAATGTAATCTAACCTTCATCCGTCCTTCCCTGTAGTATGCTGTTCCAGTCATTAAGTATGACCGAAAAGGATATAAAGCACGCAACCGACAGCTCCTGCTCATGTCTGACAGTGCCGTTATTGTGGAGGAGGGCAAACTCAAACAGCGGATCGACTACAACTCACTGAAAGGTGAGAAGGAGGAGGGATAGAGCTTAAATATGAATAGTAGTTTAACCTAAAAACTACAGTTAGGATTTATGTGAACATTTTGCAATGACAGATTTTTTTCCGTTAAACCTTGTGGCATTTGTAGTAATCACTCTTTCAGATTTAAAATTGTTGGAACAAGATGGTGTTTTAATCATCCAATGTTATTTACTTATTTACTGTTAGCAGTAGTCCGTTTACTGGTATTTGTGCCTTCATTCATTGACCAAAAAAAAGCATGTCTTGTAGAAATGTATATTTTGATTGTAGTATGTGTGTTTTAGTAGAACTGCTAGGACTTTTTCAAATATAAGAGCTGGTTAACGGAGGGAAGATTTTTTAAACCCATTTTTAAACAAAGTTTTAATAAATATTTAGCATTTCCTAAATCCATCGTTCCAACGAACATTCGCAAACTGCGTTGCAAATTTCAACATTTGCAACCACATCTCTAGAGCTGTAGTTCGAAGCATAGTTCCTGGCTGTGTTCTATTCCCACTTATCCACCCTATGCCCTATACCTTTCAAACATTCCAACGTTTAAACTTGGAATGATTTAAAAAAGAGTGTGAATGTGAATGTGTGGGTGGATGTTTCCCAGAGATGGGTTGTGGTTGGAAGGGCATCCGCTGCGTAAAAACTTGCTGGATAAGTTGCCGGTTCATTCCGCTGTGGCAACCCCGGATTAATAAAGGGACTAAGCCGACAAGAAAATGAATGAATGAATAAATGATTAAAAAACATCTAAATCATCTGTGGTAGATGTTATTTGCTTTCAAAGTATTTTTACAGTTCAGTTTTAGCGATCTTCATATTGTCAATTCTGCTCCCTTTGTGGTGCACTTTAAAAACTTTAATGCCAATTTTGAATGCTGATGTGGCTCATGACGAAAGCTATAGGTGACCTATTATTTGAAAGCAGAATTTACATTTACGTCTCCAAAGCATGTGGAAAAAAAAAAACATAGTATACGTTAATGGTTTTAATTTATAGTAAGTTATTTATTAAGTATCTGAACTGTATATGACATGGGCCTGTTGATTAGAACATTTCTGCAGTGGTTTGAATGCATTAAGGTGTTAAAGTAGGCTTAAAAATAATAATAATAATAAATAAATAAATAAATAAATAAATAATAAATATCCTACTTAATAATAATAATAAAAATTAATAATAATTATTATTTTTAAGTAGGATTTTTTTGTCTTTTCTCATTACATAAATTACAACCATTAACAATTTTTATGATTTATAAATGAGAGTAGAATACATGTTAGCTTAGTGGTTTCATGTTCTAGAATAGACTATGGAACATTCTCAATAATATTTGTAAAGGAAACATAGGCCCTGTATGTGCCGTATACATATATTTCAATTAATATGGAAAATGAGGGCATGTTTTTACAAAAACTCATATTGGATTTTTTTTTTTAAATGTGTGCGTGTGTAAACAATGTAATTGGCACAAAAAAAAAATTTTTCTCTAAAGAAGTTGTTACTTCACCCCGTTTAAAGAGTCATTATAGATATTTTATGTTAAAACTAACGTGGTTCAAATGATAGATCTGCGGCAAAGCAACTACGGTTTTAGAAAACACTCATCACTACATCGTTCTTTGCCCAAACAATGCATTGCGAGCTATGTCATTGTTTGGAAAAGACACTTCAGGTTGGTTTAATCAGTCATTGGATAACTTGGACAATTCTAGCCAGCCCGAAAAACTTATTTTCTTAGGGGGCTAATAATTTTGACCTTAGCAGTTTTTGTATATATACATTTTAAATGTATATCTATATTTTTATTCCAGCCAAACTAACAGAAATAAGACTTTCTACAGAAGTAAAATATACTGTAATAGGAAATACTTAGAAATTTTAATTATTTTTCAAAGAATTCTCAAATGTTGTTTTACAGAGCAATGACTGCACGTAGGTGTTTGCACTACCAAAGCTGCCCGATTAAACATGCTTTCAACTACCTTTTTTCCCCTTTATTATTAAATCTCACTGAACTGAGCTGTGCTAAACTGAACTTAAACAGTAAATACTGAACTACACTGTTTCAATTTACTATGCTACTATACTTTACTTACTGCTTTGACACAATCTACATTGTAAAAGCGCTATACAAATTAAGGTGAATTGAATACTTTTGGAAATGTCTACACACTCAAAACATTTTAGACTTCACTTACACCTGTGTTGATTTTTTTAAAAAGTGCTAACCAACGAAAAAGTGACAATGTCCACTTCTGTTTTGTCTGTAGGGATTTCTGTCAGCTCTCTGAGCGACGGCATGTTTGTTTTTCATGTTGCTTCTGAGGACAATAAGCAGAAGGTAAATCTAAACATTAGTTATTTGCTATTTATTCTCTTAAAGGAGCTGTTAATATGTGACCTGTTTTGCTGTCTACAGGGTGATGTGGTGCTTCAGAATGAGCATGTCATTGAGACGTTAACCAAAGTGGCTATCTGTGCTGACAAGATGGACGACATTAACATTAACCAGGGGAGGTGAGTTACAAGCCGAGTTCAAAATCAAAGATCAAGTCAGATTTAAGAGTTAGAGATGCACCACATTTTAGATAGAAACGTTTGATTTTTGGCCTGAAATGGTTTTGAAGGGCTAAAATTATTGAACAAAACCCAAATTTTTATTTATTTATTATTATTATTATCATTATTTAATTAATATATTTATTCTTGGCAGTGTGGCCGGTGTTGCTAGATTAGGCTGTTTTGAATTTGATTAAATGTGCGAGTAAAAAACAGCGTATGCGATGCGGGCTGACAAAATTTGGACGGTTTTGAAATGTTAATTTTATCTGCAAATTATTTAACAGAACATAACAGTGCTCCTGCTTCATTCAGTTAGTAGTTACTAGTGCATAGCGCAAACTGCATGGGCCCACCCGCAAGAGGAGGTGAAGGAAGTTGAATCAAAATCTGACTCTTTCTCATGCACGAGCTTTATGCAGTGCCAGCAGTTAAACTCACAGTGGTTTAATCATAACACTTTTATCAATCATATTTTTCTGCAATTGACAGCAAAAACAAACTTAGAAGTGTTGTCTGATTGAAAAGCAGCACCTAAATATGTTCAAAAGAATTTAAAACGCCAAATGGGACAAATCTATACCACATTTTTGAAAGTAAAACATACTCTAATAGGTAGTGGAATCTACACATCAAAGTGCAGTGTGTGGGTGAGCGGGGCACAGTGTTTCTGTGCTGTATGGTTAAAGGAATATGACAGTTAAATTAACTAGACTAATTTCTGATTTAGATAAATTTTAATTAAATAAAATATTAATCTAACATTTTGGGTGTTTTTGTGAGTTTGGGCGGGTTTTGGACAGCTTTTGGGCTGGAAAAAGTCAGCTATATCTGTCAACACTGAGTGTTACTGTTCAGTCATGGTGAAAATTTGTTCCAGAAATTGCATCAATTCACAGATATTCAAAATGCGTCACAATTTTCTCTTGAATCAATTGTGAGCTTATATTTTAACAGCATATGGTGCTCCAGGCTAGTTTTTAACTGTACACTCAAATGTCCTTAAAGGAGAATGCTTTTGCATACAGCTGTCATGTGAGCTGGTTTCATGAATTTATGTAAACGCAAATAACTTTAAACACTCTTTCCTGACTATAATTATTAATGATTATTTAAGGTATTTTAGATGAGTGATATTTTTTAAGGAATTGGATGTAAGCCGAGTATGCCCATTTGTATATCATACAGTGGCATCAGCATTATGAGAATCTAAGAATTAATGCAGAAACTATTTGCTCTAGGGTTTTCTATATAATTTTTTTCTATTTGAAGTAGTGTGGAGTCATAAATAAGAAAAACTTGCAAGAAGCGTATTAATGTTTTCAATAAAACCAAGTTGCAGCTTTCAGGTTTAGATCAGATTTCTAAAATAAAAGCATATCTTGCTGGTTGGTTAGTGTTACGACTTTACAAAATAGCTCAAGGGGTCAAAGAGGTAACATTTTGATGTAGAGAGTTGGTTTTGTAACAAAGTTCTGCAAACTGAAAACCTTTATAACAGACTTAAAAAACAAGTAACATGAAATCCTTCCACATATGTATGTTATGTACAATACACAAATTAAGGCTAATTGCCACCAACAAACACAAAAATCATCACTATTTCAAGCATCTTTTTATTAAAAGAGATCCTGGACGAGCCCCCATTTAAATGTTACAACTTTAAAGTTTAGCTCTAGGGGTTAAAGACATTTTGATTCGACTCAGTTCGTAGAGAATTGGTTTTGTAACAAAATTCTGCAAACTGAAAACCTCCATGGCACAGACTAAACAAACAAGTAACACGATATCCTTCCGCATATGTATGTTATGTGCAATAAACAAACTAAAGCCAATTGCCACCAACAAACACAAAACATCATCACTGTTTCTGGTATCTTTTTATTAAAAGAGATCCCGGACGAGCCCCCATTTAAATATTTTGACTTTAAAGTTTAGCTCTAAGGTAACCTTTTGAAGTGACCCAGTTTGTAGAGAGTTGGTGGCAAAATAGCAAAACGACAACCAAATAATGCAAAAAAACAAGTGAATTTATTTACAAAATTGAAAAGAATTCAAACAGCAAAATAATATGTACAAGTTTAAGTATCTCTCAAGAGAAAGATTAAATCATCTAATGTATGTTATTAAGGGAAAGAAGATTTATAACTTTAAACACTCTTTCCTGACTATATTAATGATTCTTTTGGGTATTTTAGGTAGATTATTTTTCTTAGGAAATGGATGTAAGCAGAGTACAGCTGTTTGTAAACTTCTAAAGTTTAGGGGTTAAAGAGGTAACATTTTGATGCGACTCAGTTTGTAGAGAGCTGGTTTTGTAACAAAATTCTACAAACTTAAAACCTCCATGACACAGATTAAACCAACAGGTAACACGATATCCTTCCTCATACGTTTGTTATGTGCAATAACGCCAATTTCCACCAACAAACACAAATATTCCTGTCAGCCCTCTCTTACAAAGCAAAGAGGTCAGATTCATAGATGTGTATTTTATAAGCTAAACGTATTATTGCTCTTAATTGGAAAAATATAAATCAACCTAGAATTGGAAAGTAAATTTAAGAAAATGCATATGTCAATGGAAAAGATCACATACATTGTCAAAAAGAAACAAAATGTGTTTGAAGATATCTGGAGACCTTTTAATAACTTTCTGAAGTACAATGTAAATGCTGGCAGTCTGCTACTACAAAATCAAGTTTAGAGGGAGTAGGGGAGTATCATGGTCTAAACATAGACCCGGGAAACATTCTGTTCCTGATTTAATCATATCCTTTATTTTCCTTGTATATTTATTTATTTTTTATAGGCAATGGGTTGATAGGAAGGAGAATAGGGTGTAAAAAGTTTGCTGTGTCTTCATGATTATTATTCTGTTACTGTGTTATCTGTTGTAATATGCAAATAGAACAAAGTAATAAATATGTTGTGCCAAAAAAAAACACAAAAATCATCACTATTTCAGGTATGTTTTTATTAAAAGAAATCCCGGACGAGCCCCCATTTAAATGTTTTGACTTAGAAATTTAGCCCTAGGGGTTAAAGAGGTAACATTTTGATGTGACTCAGTTTGTAGAGAGTTGGTTTTGTAACAAAATTCTGCAAACTAAAACCCCCCATGACACAGACTACACAAACAGGTAACACAATATCCTTCCGCATGCATATGTTATGTGCAATACACAAACTAACCAATTGCCACCAACAAACTCAAAAATCATTAGCCCCATTTGAATGTTAAGACTTTAAAGTTTAGCTCTAGGGTAACATTTTGATGTGACTCAGTTTGTAGAGAATTGGTGGCAAAACGACAACCAAACAATGCAAAAATAAGTACATTTATTTACAAAATCGAAAAGAATTCAAACAGCAAAATAATATGTACATGTTTATATAACAAAAACTCCAAACTGGCTGATTATTATCCTTTAAACTACCTAATAGAAATATGCTTTGCTTTTTCTCTGATGAACAGTATAAAGTTCGATGTGGCACAGGGAAAAGAAGGGATCATAGACTTTACAGCTGGCTCAGAGTTGCTGATAGTCAAGGCTAAGAATGGACACCTTTCTGTGGTGAGCAAATACATTTGAATCTATGCTTATCTAAAAATAATTCAAATCAAAAACAGTGTGAATAACAGCATGTTTGTATTCGTCAGACCGCCCCTCGCCTCAACTCAAGATGATGGACGAGTCGTGACCAAGCACTTCCAGATACGCTCCTTAGTTCTTCAATCACATGACTACAGGCGGAGCTTTTCTCCACCAATCAGACGCCGGCCAGCCAGCCGCACCAAAGGCCTCTGCTTTCAGTTGCGAAAATCCAGCAAACTTATTTATGTTTTGGGGGATTAATACTGCTATATGAATATATGATTTTATATGTCGAAGCCAAGAAATAACAATATATGTATGTGCATTTTTTCATCTTTATCTAGCTTATTTGGGGGGTGTTGAATGATTTGTTAGAGACGGTGACCTCAGCCATGATCACGAGGTAAATCAGGGTTCACAATTAGCTTTGGTCCTATTTATGATTCTTTTTGCAATCCAAACCCACTCAGAACCAGTACACATTTGCTTCTGTCACTATGATTTGAGTTATTATTGCTTGGTAACTCAATCAAATGTTCATAGGAAAGGTATTATGACTTTTTTGCATAGAAAAGATGACTTTCAGATTCTGTTGAACCTGTTTTACACACTATTTGTGCGACATAATTTCACTCACATGCCTAATAAGTTATTAATATTAGTTGATGTGAGGGATGTAAAATAAGGAGAGCATATGCCAAGTTTAATGAATGTGATTGTGTGTGATTTGTATGAAAAGGCTATGAAAATGATTGGATTTTATTTCTTTTTCTAGAAAATCAGCCCTATTGTGAGTCGTAATTCATAAACTACTTTAAAGGAGCACTCTTTGTTTTTGCAAATAGGCTCTTTTGGAATTTTTACAAACCCCCTATAGTTAAACAGTTGCGTTTTACTATTTTAGCTTAGCATAAACTATTGAATCGGATTAGACCAGTAGTATCTCGCTCAAAGATATCAGAAAAGAGTTTAGATCATTTGACTATTCAAAGCTAAACCTTTCTATAATTATAGTTATAAAGACCTACATAAATTGAAAAGTTGATATGAATTTTTTTAATGAGATGCTAATGGTCTAATCTGATTCAATGATTTATGCTAAGCTAAGCTAAAAGTGCTCCTGCCATACCCGGATATAGGCTGAATGAATTTCAAAATGGTAACTCAAAACTGTTTGACTCTTTGAAAGGTGAAGAGTTTCAGAGAGGTGGAGAGGCCTCATAATGTTAGGATTGGATTTAGAGAGTATCTTTGATAAGGGAAAGAAATGGGATGAAATACAGTGATGGACAATTGATTCTTAAATCATTCAGGATTTTTTTCTCCTAATACTTTGGCCACAATAACCTCTCTTATTAATGTCATTTCCCCATGTTAGCATTACTCTAAGTTCTTCATGAAGCTTGTGTCAATTGTTAGCTTTAATGGTATAAAAATTGTACATTATCTATTGTGATTCATAATTCATTGCCTACTTTAAAGGAGCACTGCACTTTTTTGGAAATAGGGTCATTTTACAGGCCCCCTAAAGTCAATCAGTTAAGTTGTACTATTTTTGAATTTATTAAAAGAAGCACTTTTAGCTTAGCTTAGCTTTAATCATTGAATCGGATGAGACCATTAGAATTTGCTCAAATATTTTTTAAAAGAGTTCATATTTTTTATGAAATAAATCTAAATCCTATGTAGTTACATCGTTTATAAGACCAACATAAATTGAAAAATTACTATGAATTTTTTTGAGCGAGATGCTATGGTCTAATCCGATTCAATGATTTATGCTAAGCTACGCTAAAAGTGCTCCTGCCAGACATGGTGATTGGCTGAATGGATTAAAACATGGTGAAACTCAACTGTTTAACTCTAGGAGACTTGTAAAATGTTTCTCAAAAAGGAGGAGCGTTCCGTTAATTTGAAAACTGACATCAGTAACAATTTTTTAATCTCAAAATTGTGCCTCAAAAGGGTAAGATTGGATTCAGAGAGTGTCTTTGATAAGAAAAGATTCCCAAATCATTCAGGCTTTTTGCTCCTAATCCTTTGGACACAATAATCTCTCTTATTAATGCCATTTCCCCATGTTAGCATTACTCTACGTTCACAAGCTTGTGTCAATTGTTAGCCTTAATAGAATGGAAGTTGTGAGTTATCTACAGTTAATATGGAACTTGGCTTTCTTATTTTTCTGAGGCAGGTTTGTGTATATGTAGATAAAAGGTAACAAAGCACTACTAAATGCTCAAAACCAAATGTAATATGTCATTTTTGAAACCAAAAGTGAACTGTGGCACCTAACGCTGTTGGTAGCACAGTTATTTGATTTTGCCATTGAGCATGTGCCTATCATCACTAGTGTCATAGTTGACGATGCTAAAGAAAAGAAAAACACTGTAAGAAAGACACACGATTAAATAAAGTCAAGTGCCGCATGTATTTAGAGCAAATATCTATTTTTGACATTTATTAAAACAAGAAATACAATACTATTTGCATAAGCTCTTGGCCCATTAATTAAGATGTAATTCACAGTTTGTGAGTTTGTTTTATACTTTTTGTGTAAAAAAGAAAAACCTGGAAAAATATATATGACATTTTGAAGCAGACTGACAATGTATCTGAGCATATTAAAGCTGATTAAAAGCTGTGAGCGTCTGGTTTATGTATAGTTTTCATTTGATAATGACAATAATTATTATTTGGAATGGAGAGAGTTTGGATCATTTTCATATTTAAAGCTGAAGTGAAATGAATTGTTTTGAGTGAGATGCTAATGGTCTAATCTGATTCAATGATGTATGCTAAGCTAAGCTAAAAGTTCTTCTACCAGACTGAATTTACAAAATGGTAAATCTCAACTGTTTAACTCTTTAAAAAAAGGTGAAGAGTTCTTTAATTTGAAAATTGAGGTCAATTACAATTTTTATTCTAAAATTTGTGCCTCATAATGTTAGGATTGGATTTAAAGAGTATGTTTGATAAAAAAAGAAATGGGATGAAATAAAGTGATGGACAATTGATTCTCAAATCGTTCAGGGTTTGTGCTTCTAATACTTTGGACACAGTAATCTCTGTATCTTCTTGTAAAATTTTAATTTGATAATGACAATAATTATTATTTGCAAAGGAGAAAATGAATTGTGTTGTTTTGGTAAGTCTATCCAGAGTGTGAGACAAATGGCAGCGGTTGGATTTTCACTAACCAAAATGTTTTGAAAGTATTTTGAACTGTGCATATTAATTAAATAAAAAGGAATCATTCATTTGTTTTAATATTTTAAGTTTTAAAAATATAAACTTTAACAGAAAACAGTAGGAAATGGAAATTGAGCTGTTAAACTCTTAAAACTAAAGGTTCTTTACTGGCATTTGATAGTTCGGTGTGCATTAACATTCAAAGAAGCATTCAACACAAAAACATTATTGTGGAAATATGTTCTTTGTTTATTTGGTAACTCTTTGATTTAGCAGGGTGTCTGCAGAGTTTTAAAAAGTATTAAAATGTCTGAACTTTCACAAACTAAATTTGAGGACTTAAAATGTATTAAATAGACTGAAATTTTGACTTGTCTTAAATTATTGTAAATAGGTTTTAATTTTTCTTTGTCCATAAAAGTCTACCCAATCGGGCCAACATGCAGTGGGTAGCACAATAGCCTCACAGCAAGAAAGTCGCTGGTTCAAGCCTCGGCTGGGTCAGTTGACATTTCTGTGTGGAGTTTGCATGTTCTCTCTGTGTTCGTGTTGGTTTCCTCCAGGTGCTCCGGTTTCCACTATCCAAAGACATGCGCTATAGGTCAATTGGGTAAGCTAAATTGGCCGTAGTGTAAGAGTATGAATGCAAGAGTGTATGGGTGTTTCCCAGTGATGCATAAGCTGCGAAAAACATATGCTGGATAAGTTGGTGGTTCATTCCGTTAGTTCCTGATTAATAAAGGAACTAAGCTAAAAAAAATTATAATAATCAATGTATATGCATACAACTAGGGTTTGCTTGTTTTGACATTTTTTTTTTTTTAGAATTTGCAGCTAAAAATAACTTAGAATATAATGTATAATAAAAAAGTCCTGTATAAGTGTGAAATGTAATTCATAATGGTCCTAAAAAATGTTTTAATCAGTCTTTGTGAAACCTGCAGAAACCATGTTTAAGGTGATGTAGTTACATGTTCCATATGCTCACAATTGTAGTTACAATGAATTACGCATCATTACATGTAACAAGTACAAGTATGTGCTGGGGTGGCTTTAAGCACTCCCAGGTATGGGGCTCTAGCATTGAAACTCAAAACACTCTCTTTCTCTATCGATATTAAATATAAAATATATTTGATGTGGAATCTTTATCTTCTTACTGTAAAATTAAATACAATAAATTCACACATATAAAGGAGGTTCACAAACTGCACAGTTAATGAGCCATACTTGATAAGACTTTAATATTTGCATGTGCAGTACAGAAGAAACATTTAACTATTCATAAGGGTCCTGATATTGAAAAGACGTAATGTTGTTAAAACCTTAAGGGTTATGGATAGATTAACCTATGATAGAACATTTATAAAAGAGCTATAGAGCATGGTCCCAACATATTTCCTGTTTTATATTTTTAATTTATAGAGCTTCAGAGATTTCAAAAAGAGACATGTTGATAAATAATTGTATTATAGCTTATTTTTCATAAGTTATGATTGAATTGTTGAATTGTTACAGTTATGGAATTGTTTGTTTGATTGGAAACGATCAATGGCATGACCACACTGAAATGGTCTATATGATTAAGGCTTATTGGGATTGGTCGGGTCCCCTAAATCCCTTGCTACTTGCTTAATGAAATTAATTAGTTAAATGAATAGTTACACTGTTAATATGTCACTTTAAAATAAATGTAACTGATAGTTCTTTACACCAAGAACAAATATTTTACTAAACTATTCGCTGAAATAGTTTAATATAGTTAATATAGTTTACTAATCGTTTCTTTGGTTTTGGTTTTCTCATAACGCACAGCAAACTCCTTTATTGAACCTTTATTTTAGGGGGTATTGTAAATACGAATGCACATCAGTAATCAGAAACCAGCCACATATTAAAGGAGACTGTTCAGAGAAGAGCACGAGTGTTTCTGGCTGTAGGCGGAGATCCTTCAACTTCTTGTATTTTGTTATTGCTCAATAAATCAGGTGACTTGCGGGGGAAAATGACAGAGCATGTCAATCATATGGACGCCTATAATGTTGCCGTTATATACTATAGCGATTCATTTATAAACTGTAATACGGTAGTAGCTTTCGTGTTAAGTAATCGATAGATATCTCCTATTTGTTTTACATCATGTGAATATTTTGAATACGGCTATTATCAAAGGAAAGTTTCACTTTCAAAATGAATGAGATTCTACGGAAGTGAGGGAAGCGTGTGATACTGTTTATTGGCGTATTTAGCCATTCCTTTGTTTTGGTTTAGGAGCTCTTATTATACCTGTTTGGATGTACACCGGTTATACAGTAAGCCAGATTTAATTCAGAGGTATTTAAAGGAATGTGTTGGGTTACTTTCTGGGCGTCAAGCTATTCGTTTGATTTCCCTGTCAGAGTTTGTTCAGTAATGTTAAGTACCGTTTAAATAATACATTGTGTTTTATTGATATGACAGTGAACATATTTGGACAAACACCTTCTGAGTTAAGAAACAATGACACAACATTCATTACTTTTTTGTCGATTTACCACACGATACCGACATAAATGAGACACGTTGTGTTGTCGTGCTGTTTTGGTTAAACTCTGACAAACACTTGTTTAACAGACATGTATCGTTGTTGAAATGTTATTTGAATACGCGGCTGGAATAACATTAATTGTACAAAAAAAACTAATTTTAACATAAAATTAATTAATTATTCTTTTTAAATAACTTCAAATTAGAATTGAAATCATTTTCAGGGGGTTCAGGCCATAATAAGGGGGCCCCAAATTCCCCCAGAGCCGGTAATATTTTAAAGTGATGGCTGTTAGAGTCTGTTGCACTGAGATTCAACTGCGTCGCGTGGAGCTGGTGGAGAACTACAGTATACACTTGACACGCCTTCTGGACGTGTTGTTTAATGTGGGGGCATTGACCGAAGAGGACCTCAGTCTCATAAGGGGCTCGTCTGTTAGAGGCGAGCGGGACTGTATGAGATTTCTGCTGGATGTGCTGAATGGTAGAGGAGAAGAATCATGCAGGGCGTTTTTCTATATACTACCAAGTATCCAAGATGGGACCTTACAAATAGGGCAGATCGGCAGACAAGAGCATCTCAAAAAACACAAGGAAATCTTATCAAGGGAGCACAGCCTGGTGGACTATCTCAGCATCAGGAGACACACTTCAGGGCAGGATGAGACCAGACAGTTGACTGATATCACCTTCTCAAGACAGGCTGGTTATGCATCATCTTCTCAATGCCGACATGAATCAACTGGAGTTGGAGATGCATTCAGAACATGTGCAGATGATATCTGCGTTTTCAGCGATGTTTACGGCAGTCTGCTGTCCAGTCAATCGAGTGGTGTGAACATGTTGTCAGGAGTTGCTGGAAGTGGAAAAACCACAGTTGTAAGACGCTTGGTGCGAGAGTGGGCTGCAGAAACCACTTCACACAAAATTGTCTTACCCTTGTCCTTTCGTGAGTTAAACCTCATAACTCAAGAGCAGAGCTTGCAAGACCTGCTCTCAGATCACTACATTCACCTCAAACCTTTCCTGCATGACTTACTCAAGTCAAAACCAACCCAGTTTTTACTCATCCTAGATGGTCTGGATGAGTTCTGCTACCCTCTTAATTTCGAGCACACTCCCAAATGCTCAGATCCCGAGAGGGTGCTGCCTATACAATCCATTGTGGTCAATTTAATCAAGGGAAATCTGCTTCCAGGCATGTCCGTTTTTCTCACCTCAAGGCCTCATGCGGTCTCCAAAGTTCCTCCGGTGCTGGTCAGCCAGTATTACAGCCTGTTGGGTTTCTCTGTAGATCAGCAGAAGCAGTACTTTGAGAAGAACTGCAGATCTCCTGAGGCTGCTGCTGCAGTTTGGGCCTCAGTGTCGTCCCATAAACCCCTTCTCCTCATGTGCCACATTCCCGCATTCTGTTGGATTGTGTCCACTGCCTTGCATGACGGTGGCTCCTGCCTTTATCCTGATCCTGTAAATGCCAAGTCAGGAGAGCAAGAAGGCCTCGATAAAGATGACCTACAGATACCTTCTGAGATGAGCTCCAAACCTGTGACGATCACCGAGATTTACTGCTGTTTCGTTAAATCCATCGTGCTGTTCCATGCCCAAGGGCGAAGCGAGGGCTCCCATCACACCAGGCTTCAGCATGCTCCTCATGTCCTGGCTGAAATGCAGCCAGTACTCAAAAGTCTCGGGGCGATGGCCTTCAAAGGCCTCCTGGAGAGACGATTCATCTTTGAAAGCTCCGATATAAACTCTTTTAATCTGGATAGCACCAAACTCTCACAGGTGTTCCTCTTCGAGATCCTTAAAGAGGATCGAGCGTCCCTCACCTTAGAAAAGGGCTTTCATTTCCTCCACACCAGCGTGCAGGAGTTTCTGGCCGCCTTGTACTATGTTCTACAGTCACTCTCAGGATCAGATGCGTTTTCAGGCCTCAAACCAAGAACAGGCCGATATCTTCAGTCTGCGCTTAAACAAATGGGATCAGCTGTCAACAAACTCAGCAGGCCGCGGCGTCTTTTCTGCAGACGTATTAAGAAGGCACTTCGCTGTGGGGAACAACATCAGTCTGGACACATGGATCTTTTCTGCAGGTACCTTTAAAAAAAGCCATATATAATTAAATGAATGCATACCCAACAAACACATTTACGTTGTAGCGATGTCTGTACAACGTTGCATGTTTTCAAAGGCAACATCACCACTAACCGCTTACGTGCTCGCTACATTGTTAAGACGTGAGAAGGCTGTAGCAACGTTGTCGTGTGACATTAAGCAACTGTGAGGAGACATTCTTGCTACATGTATTAATGTTTTTTTTCTCCTGGCAGTTTATCAATGCTGCCTAGAATACCGGATAACTAGTAATGATTTCCAGTAATGCTTAATATTAAATATTGGTCATTCATTTTTCTTTTTTAATTTAACAATTGCAATTGAAGTGTAAAAATGCCGCACAAATGAATATGATTAAACTTTTTTATTACATATTTCACAACACTTAATACATACAGTACACATCTAATTATAAGCAAACAGTATAAAATGAAGATTAAATCAAATACTTAACTACATATAATTAAACAAAGCGTAGGCTAAATTAAAATGTCAGTTGAGACGGTACAAACAATAGAAGTAAACAAGAAAGCATTAAAAATAAAAATAAATAAATAATTAAATAAATTTTTATTAATTAAAAAATGCAGACACGACATTAAAGTTCTGGACTGGAGAACACAGCAGACCGGGGAGCGCAGTCGAAAACCAGGTGTAACTTAGTTGTTGGTTCGGAGAAATCAGTCAGAGATAGAAATCCAACAGAGAATCCAATTCAGAGTTGGATCCACAGCAGCCACGAGTCAAAATAGGCAGTGAAAAACAGATCAGAGCTTGACACAACAGGACTACACAAATCCCCACTGATGACTTATTTAGCAAGAAGAAATAAAGCAATACTCACGTCTCCTCCTTAAATGAGACACTGAAGGCTCTGTTGAAATTTAAACTGATTCATTGATGATGAGTAAATGTTGCACAGTGGTCTTCCATGCCACCTAAGTACAACCTAAAGCAACAGATGTTTAAAATGGCAACATGACACCGCTGTGACAACCTTCAGCAACAACGTAGATCCTCAACCTTTTTACAAGGTTGGTACAACATTGTAGTAGCGATGCAATGGATAACAATTTCACTATTAACCGCACTTTAATTCGTCACTGTTAGGGCTTCTCAACAGGCTTCTCAACACCATGTTTCTGCATGGAACAAAACTGCTGCAACTTAACAAAGTTATGCCAACTGAGTGCTAGTTTGAAGTTCCAAGCTTGTACACCATGCACACTGGATTAACTATAGCTGAGGCTATTAACTAAGGGCCAGTCACATATCGCGTCTTTTGCGCGCGCAAGTTCGTCCTTTCTAATGGAGGTGCGTGGCTTGCATATGTGGAGTAATAGACTCGTTCTTTCAACCTACTTGTTGAAAGAATTCCGTGAGCGCCCTACACTGAGAAAAAAAATAAAACAAAATGAAAAATACCAAACATTTTTGTTATAGAGTTGATCAAAAGGTTCAGCAGCGATTGAATGCATTTCTTCACTGTAAAAGGGAAATACTTAGCTATCATGTAACTTAGATTTACATTAGACAAATACTATTTATTTATTTATTTATTTATTCATTTATTTATTAATTTTTAATTTTATTAATTTATTTTAATTTTATGTATTGATTATTTTAATTTATTTCATTTTTTATTTTAAATTTATTTATTCATTTATTTTAAATGTATTATTTTATATATTTTCATTTATTTTTAATGAATTAATTTATTTAAATTTTATTTATTTATTTTCATTTATTAACATTTATATTAATTTATTTACATTTTATTTATTTATTTAAAATTAATTAATAAATTTTTATTTATTTAAAATGTATTTATTTATTTATTTAAATTTTATTATTTATTTAAATTTATTATAATTTTTTTATTGACATTTGTTTTCAGTGTAAAATTATTATTTATGTTTAAATGTTTAAACGTTTTCACTTATTTTTACGTCCAAAGAGAATTGGACAATTGTTTGTTTTTTATTATTGTTTTTTGTCATATTATTTGGTTACTGAGCAACAATAAAAATCACTTTAATTAAAATATTAAAAATGGAGTTTTCATGTGATTTTTCTAAACTAGCTGTGTTTTGAAATTAATGAATGCATAATAATTGTGATAACCGTGATTATTCCTCAGACTATAATCGCACAACCAAAATCTATAACCGTTGCATCCCTACATTGTAGGAAGGACGCTATATGTTGAGGCAACGTTGTGTGTTTGTTGGGTATTTATATTGACACTTTTTTCCTTTTGTTTTTTCCTAAAGGGATAATTTTAAAAAATGAACATTTATTTACTATTTAAGACTGATTTATACTTCTGTTTCAAGCGCACGGGTATGCTCCGACACAGCCTTCGCACGGTCGCACAGCTCTCGCCGTGTTTGATGCTGATCCGCACCTCTCAAAAAATATAACTACACATCGCACCGATCCATAGCACAAGCTCTGTGATTGGCCACCTTGGTAACTGTGATGAGTTTGGGCAGTGCTGAGAGCCACGAGCCCGATGGAGCGAGTGTTTACAAGTGTCGACTCATTTGAAGGAGCTCCATATGGAAACTTTAATTATGTGTTTACTTATGATCAAAGTTGGTGCACGTTCGCCGGTTCCTGCCTCAAAATGAGCAAGTTTGAGCTACTTCTACATTAAGGTAGTGTTTAGAAAAAACAAATCACCGGTGAAGAAACTCAACACAGAAGAACATAAAAACCTCACTGCCAGCTAGTGTTTCTGAAGTGTTATTGCAGAGCAACACAAACAGCGAGCAGAACTATAAATGCAACTATGCGCCTTAACTCACCCTAAGGTGGTTCCAAACTTGGTCTTGGAGGGCCGGTGTCATGAGAATTTGAGTCCCCGCTGAGAATTGGGCCTGCCTAAAGGACCCAGAGTGATCCTATTGCTTTACTGGAGTTGTAAAGTACAGTATATGAAATCACATTCATAATTTATATAAAGTAAAAGGTGTGACTATTTCATTTAAAACGGCACTTATAAGCGTTATATTGACTCTTTCTCTTACTTGTGTATAATTAAAGGCATGCATTGGTAGTGAAAATGAGTATTTATTTTTTATACTCTTTAGTTAGCCCGTTAGCTTATTTGTTAGCATTATCCTAACCCTTACCCTTCTGTTAGTCTCCTGGCTACCATAAGCTAACGCAGTTCTGATTAACTACACAACAAGGTATCATTATAATGGCTTTTGATCAAGCGTTCAACACAGAGGATTCCTTAGGGGTTCTAAACGAACTCGATTTCGCGGGGGACTTGATTTCTCACCACACAGGTATCCTAAGTTTAGTTCCAATCCCAATCAGACACGCCTGGGCTAGCTAATCAAGCTCTTTCTAGGCTTTCTAGAAAAATCCTTACAGGTGTGTTAGGGCAAGTTGGAGCTAAAATCTGCAGGACCAAGTTTGTATACCCCTGCCTTAATATAAAAAATCTGACCAACTTTTTGAAAAATTTTGATCTATTTTGATGACTGCATTTCACTAAACTCTTATTTTCCTTCTGCAGATTTGTTTGTGGCCTGCTGGTTCCCAGGACACGTCTGATCCTAAATGGATTTTTTCCTGATGGGCCCAAAATGCATCTGCTCCGTTGCGAGCTCTCTCCAGACTTGACTCCTCCTTTCCTGCTCCATCTGTTACATTCTCAGCTCCAGAGCTCCACCCTGGGCCCGGAGAGGCAGGTCAATGTTTGTCACTGTCTGTACGAGGCCCAGGACCCAGGTCTGTCACAGCGCCTACAGGGTTGGATGAAAGTTCTTTCACAGCAGGCCTCAGATCAGTCTGGTTCGGTAAACAGGGACTGGAGTGAACTGGCTTTCCTCTTACAGCTCAGCCCAGACCTGCAGGTTTTACATTTGGACGCTCAAGGACTTGATGCTGATGGATTAAGCAGACTCCTACCAGTCCTTCCTCTTTTTTCAACACTGAGGTAAAAACCGTAGGCATAGTTTTTTTTAGACAAAAACAAAGCATGTATTGTTAAATGTTATTATGTATTGGGTTTTGTAATATTTTGTGAATGTTTTTCTGATAATAGTCTCGGTCAGAATCCTCTTGGTTCAGAGGGAGCTGCTGTGTTGTCCCTTGTTCTGAGAAGCCCAGACTGTTGTATTGAGAGGCTATGGTAAGTGCAGAAGGTCAATTAAATATAAAGTAATAAAAAGTGAATAAAAATGTTAAATTAAAGGGTTAGTTCACCCAAAAATGAAAATTCTCATTATCTACTCACCCTTTACTTGTTCACTTGTTTGACTTACTTTCTTCTGTGGATGATCAGGGGTGCACTTGATCAGCACGGCCACCCTTGTGTAAACTCTGGCCACCCCAATGTGATTTAGTTGTTGATATAATTAATTTAAATGTACTTACGTAAATTAACATTTTTTCAATAAATAAATTAATCAGTTAATTAATAAAATGCAGCCAGTAAACTATTGTGGATTGATCAGCGCCACTGACATAGCTGATTGACTAAGATTGCACACTTTTTATTAAGAAATTGTTATTTCTGAAAAAAAGAAAGTTGTGTTTTATCTGATTAAAAACCAGAAATTCAAAAAAATAAACATTACATTTTGAAATCAGCTTTTCAGAATCTAGTTTATTTAGCAAGTGGGTGTATTTTGCAATAAGGTACATCAAAAGAAGAATATGTATTAATGTATTGTGGCTCAAAAAGGAGCATGGATAAATGATAGTATTAGGGTATGTATAGTAAGTGTGTGTGTGCGTGTGTGTGTGTGTGTAGTAATGTCTTTCTTTCAGTTTGTTCATTTGTTTGTTTTATTAATTGGGTATATGCCGAGCTAGTGTTCTTCCCATACTGATAAACTTCCGGTGACCAGTTATTGTGAACTTTTTTCAATTTTATACGGTTCCTTATACAGCATCGATGTTGTAATGTCATTAAAATACATTCAGTTAAATAAACTTTGGCATTCATTTAGTTGTTCAAGTGTAAAACGAGACAAAAAGCCATTTACTCGCACGTGCCCGTCAGAATTGCCAGGCTAGCGCAGAAGCTCCATTGAATATACTGGAGTAAAATAAATGCTCATATTAAAAAGACAAGGCGGATGTTGTTTTAAAACGGTTCCCAAAGTGAAAAGTTCTAAAATCTACACCCTTGTGTTTTCCTGTGTACAATCAATCTATTGTATGTATTTTGTGAAACAATTAAGTCATCATCATGCCACATCTAGACCCTAGTCAAACACAACTACACCTATGTTTTATACGCATGCTCCAAGTCTTAGTTTTTTTGTGTATCTCTGTGATAGAAGAATTACTGTGCTACATACCTCAACCTGATCTCACTAAGTAGGACATGTTCCTGGATTAACATCCATGTTGATTCTGGAACGACAGTCCAATTATTCAGAATTAAGGCATATGTTTACCATTTATGTTAAGTTTAGGCTTATGGTTAAGTTTATGCACTTCTACATGATTGCTATACAAATATTTTTCCCCTCTGATTTTGGGAATAATTAACAGTCATGTTTGGGTTTAGGGATAGGGGTTAGGTATGGATTACATTTTTCAAACAAAAATGATGCTTCAGGATCAACATGGATTTTAATCCAGGATCGCATTGTACATGGCAAAAGTCATGACGTGTGCTACATACTTGTCTAGCATGTAAACAACATTGTTTGTAGTCATTGTTTGTTTTTTTGAGAGTACTCTTATAAAATTTAGGCAAAAATAGGCATCTGGCTTGATATGGATGTAGCCTGGGATGATTTGAGCTTTGTGACATGATGTCCTGTCGGAATGATCATCACAAAATGGGTTTACGGTGGTCATAAAGGGATGGACATGGTCAATAATAATGACCTGGGTCTCATTGATAAACATGCTGTACGCATAAAAACAGGGTGGAAAAGTGCATTTGCCAGTTCCCACGCAAAAGTTGATAGGAGAATGTGCACAGCTGTATTTTAAATATTATTATTAATATTGTTATTATATTAAATATTGACTTAATTGAGTCACTTTAAATCATATGAGCTATAATAATTAAAAATAAATGCAAAATTACTATGCTATTACTTGAAGGAAGGTTTCTACATAAGGTTTTATAAACGAGACACCTGATCCATTACTAAAAGCCAAGATGGTTCAATGCTTTTATGTTGTTCACACCAAATTCTGGCCCTGCTATCTGAATACTGCAGAAGAAATCGAGACTCATTTGATGTGCTGTGTGTTCAAAGATGCTGACCCTGATTGTACTGAGTGGCTATTTGAGAGAATGTTGCTTTTTATCAGCTGAAGCAGTCTGACCACAGGATCTAAAGCACTGATTTACTGCCATGTGATTGGCTAGATATTCAGACATGCCTAATAAAGTGGCCAGTGTGTTTTTGTGTAATTTATAATAAAATAAATAATAATGTTCATGTTCAATATAGGGTGGTTGCGACAGGGCTTGGATGCGAAGGCCTGAGGATCCTTGCAGAAGCTCTGAAGGAAAATCGTACCGTGACTGACCTCAGGTGAACACCGCAAAATGTTCAGTTACAAATACTGTACGTTGTGCTTTCCTCGTTTAACGCTCGTAATATCATTCATTAGAATGGCCATCAATAAAATTGGAGATGCTGGAGCTGGTTATCTTGCAGACCTACTGAGGACAAACCGCACGCTGACAGATATCAGGTGACCAAGACTAACCTCTGCATTGAAATTTCACAATAAATCAATGGCTTATCTTCAGCGTTCAATATGTCTGATTATTTCGCTTCCTACAGACTTCGTGACAATCTAGTAACAGATAAAGGAGCCGAAATCCTCATGTCTGCACTCAAAGAGAACACTACCTTAAAGTATCTGTGGTAAGAGTCATCTAGAGCTGATTTATTTCAGGTTATTTCTCTAACACAGGTGCTATAGATTTTCTTTATTTACTGCAGGCTCTTTGACAACAAGTTTACCAAAGATGGCGTCAGAAAACTGAAAGAATTTGCAAAGACCAGACCCAACCTGGACATTAAAGTGTGCATCTGACACTCAAACTGAAAACATCTCTCTAAAAGGAACGTTCGTTTCTGAAATGGTTAAGCAAAATTTCATTCAGAAATACTATGTTGCTCTGATATGTTATTTTTAACACACTGTTTCTTCCTTGTTTATGTTCATATGCCTTTTCTGTGACAACTTCTGAATTTCATTGAGATTTTCAAACCCTCTCATCTTATTTAATCAAGATCTCTACATCACTATTAGTAATACAGTGAAGTATGAATACCTGGTTTTACTGCACTTTCTCACAACATGTCCCATATATGTCCCATAACTGTAATGTCAACCACTAGTGCTTACACTACGAAAGCAGTCCAGGCACATGGGTTTTAGGTCAACAGTGGAGCTCAAAATATTTAGGCTCCATTTAATTCTTTCAGCTTGCACAGTAAACAGTGCAGGGTTTCACACAATTCTCCATGTTGTCCCAACACAAATCGATTAAGTTAGCTTAATTGTCCTTACAAATTTAAGTTGATTGAACATAAAACAATTAGGTTATCCCAAAAAGCTCAGCAATATTGTGTTGATTGGAAACAATTGTGTTGATTGAATTAACAATAACACATCTTGAAGGGATAGTTCACTCAAAAATGTACATTTACTCACCCTCAAGTGGTTCCAAACCTTTATGAGTTTAAGATATTTCAAAGGAATCTAACAATCTCTAACCATTGACTTCCATAGTAGTAAAAAACAAATACAAGTTTACAGTTTTCTTCAAAGTAACTTCTTTTTTTGTTTAATAAAAGAAGCAAGTATATTATAGGTCTCAAACTGGATTGCTGGAGGGCCGCAGCTCTGCACAGTTTTTCTCCAACTCTAATCAAACAGCTGATCCAACTAATCAAGGTGGTCAAGAGTTCTATGGTGTACATTAGAGGTGGTTGAAGCTAAATTATGCAGAGCTGTGGCCCTCCGGGAATTGAGTTTGAAACCATTAAAGGAAATTGTAAGTAAATGATGACAGAATTTTCATTTTTGCTGAACTATTATTTAAATATTGAACTATTCCAGGTGTAAACAGGGTCTCAGATTCACACTTCATTCTCTGGACACTGAAATGTATTCATTTTAGTAATACAGTGGACTCTTGTTAATAGGCAACCTTTTTAGCAAAAACCCCACAGATTCATAAAATGGTGCTCTCAAAAGACCTATATAGGTGTCTTACCCTTTAACTTGCACTATAGGAAAACTAAATTTGGCCATTTTGTTTGATTAAATTGAGTTCCTGAAACCACTCTAAGCAAATACTGAGGGTTTTTTAATGGTAACCAATGCACAGGCTTGTTAAAGGGTTAATACACTCAAGTTTATCTTGTACTTTATTATAAATTATTATCTTCTCTTTTTTAGCATCTCAGTCTAGTGCCAATGGTTTATTGCTCATTTTTGTGGGTGTTTTTATATATGCAGAGCTTACGGCTCCTGTAGATGCTTCATAAACAGAAGTAAAATGTACGTGTAAAATACACAACGGTATTGCATTTGTTGTTTAGTCAATAATAATATTATTAGTAATTGATTCAACATGTCAAATTAACATTAGAACTTCATGAACTTTGCTGTTTCTTAACCCCAGCTGTCAGATAACTGTTAGAAAAGTTGCACGTCTGTCTTCTTTCTAAAAGTTGCATAATGTGTTTCAGGCATTTCATTTCATCATGTCATTGACTGCCGCAACATCGTGAAATATGAATTGTGTAGTTATAGAAGTGTTATTATACAGCCATTAAAGCAAAATGTACAAACAGATGTTGAATAAACACAGTACATGGATACTCCAGATTCTTGTTTGCTTTTATAATGGAGTCTGCGGTTTGTCGTCCCTGCAAAGTGTAAACAGCATTGCTTGATGAATGATTACATATATTACTGCATGCTGTCTTGGATGCAAACACTTTCCATACATACCACGTTATTTATAATGTGGAACAGAACTCTCATATGTGGCATTAAGTTAGCCTAACTGATTTACAGGTAAATAATCAACTCCTACAGTACACACTTATAAAATAAAGCTTCTCTAGTGGCCTCAGTGGTTCCATGTAGAATCTTTGACATCTGTGGAAGCTTTCCATTCCACAAACGGTTCTTTATATAGCTGATATCAAAGGTATGGTACATTTAATAATATATAAATTACATAAAACATCCTCAGGCTTTTTTAATAGGATAATTCTCCAAAAATGTAAGTTTCCTCAATTTAAAATCTGTTGAAATCTGTTGAACATGCTCAATGCTTAAAATACATCAATAAAAGCAAATACTACCCACATAGCAAAATAATCTCTGACCCACACAATCAGCGTTTGCTTGACCCACATGGCCCAGTGAATTACGGTACATCACTGGACCAAGTTTGACTTTCAGAAAAGGGACAAAAATGGACCATATCTGGGTCAAGTCTCAGCCAAGTAAATAACCCATAACTGAGCCTAAACTGGGCCAGATATGTTGGTTTGTCATGACTGCAATGAAATTGAAAAACCCATGAATTATTGCAATTTAGGCATGCTATGGGCATGCTTTTTCACAAAAAAAATGTTTTCTTTATTTGAAAATATTTTAAATGTGGGTCAAGGTAGCCAAATTCACATGACTCACTTATCAATTATTAACATCTGGGCCGAATGCTACATTTTACATCTGGCCCAAATATTGTGTGCTCAGCCAATCCAGGGCCATGTTTGACCCACATGCTGTATGCCAGTGCCGGTGTCCTGAAATTTTATCCTACCCATCAGATTATGCTACCAATACTGTATTCGAATGGTTCTGGGGTTGGGGTTAGGGCTACATATCTCCACATTAAAATTTAAACTGGTTGCAAAATCTGATGGGTAGCATACTGCGTCATCAAAATGTGCTACCTACTTTTTAAATGGGAGGTAGGACAATCTGACAAGGTGGGAGAAATCGACAGAACCCCGGATGAATGCCTGCTGTGATTTACTGTGTGTCAAATCTGGGCCAGAATTCCTTGCTACCTGTGTATAAAAGTCAGCGGCTTGCGTTTTTCAACATTTAATATAATGTGTCTTCAGAAAGGAAGAAATTCAAACAGGTTTGTAAAACATAAAGTCTGAATAAATTACAACAAAAGCTACATTTTTGGGTGAACTGCCCCTTTAAGTTTACTTTTAACGGAATAAAAGTTTATTGGAGAATGAAACTGGCCTCTAAATGCTTTTGAAGTCGTTATTGTTAAGAATATGAACAAAAATTAAATAACGAAAAGTGTATATGCTGTTCCACAAGTTCATTTGAGATCAGTAATCCCCCATAAAGTAACATATTTCTGGAGTAAGGGGAAGCTGCAGGCCCGGAGACTGCATTTGAATGTAGTTGCTCATTTAAACCACCAGATGGCGACGTCATGTTTTATGACTCATAGACGATTAGTCCTTTGTTCAGTTCAGTGCTTACAAAAAATACAAGAAACCGAATACAGCAAGCTACTATTAATAAAGGTCTTCGGTCTTTGTTCGGATTCCATGTATCATAATACACCCTTTTGTATTTGCTACCAAATTAGCCTATTTATCAGTAAATGATCTTTGATAAACAGTCCATGACTTCAGAAGTTTGAAAAGAGTCTGAATATGATACCCAGTGTGCAAATGACTGAAAAACATCGAAACAATGTCAAATTCAATAGCCATATGTTATAATATTTCAGTTCATCAGTCGGTTTTGATGTGTTTTTGTTTTGAGTATCCTATCAGCTTGGCCATTATTATCACAGATGTTGAATTCATAAAGTATGGGGACAGCTTTCTTTGTTTTGTTTCGTCTTTTGTGTGTTATGAATGTTAAAAAGTCTTAAAAGGGAAGCAAATACCGAAAACGATAGCAGGAAGCACAACATCACACAATCCCCTGTGCTCTGAGTGTTGTTCTTTTGCTGTGGAGCAAAAAATAAAGTAAAATTATTTATATATATATTCGTCGAGCGGCGCTCTGATTGGTCGGTCTCATCTCTAGCTCAGGAACCAGCCAATAGGCAAGTTGCCTTGTTTATGTGAAGCAAGCGGTGCAAATATAAAATCGGCAATAAGAGATGTTTGGAAATAAATTGATGTTTGAACATAACCCAAGGAGTGAACTCGGCTTCAGAAAGCTGTTTATGCCTTTTCGACGCTGAAGACAGGCGAAGCGAGGATTTGGTGAAGGAAAATAGGTAAGACTTATTATAAGGATGCTGAGCTATAAGTTTACCTGTTATGAGTGTTGACATTGAAATAGTTAATATAATCATTGATGAACAATTCCACAATATGTATTTGTTTTAACCCATAGGGTATTCATTTGAAGACGTTAGATGATTTCTAGCATGATGTCATATAATAACGACCATAAAATAATCTTTGTTTAGGCTAATAACTGCACATTGCCATGTCAGTTGTTGTTTTGACGTTATGAAGCGTTACCAAACTGTGATGTGCTGTTTGAACTGTATATAAGGCGGTGAGTGTTTTATGCCGCAACTTTATTCAGTGTGTACTGTAAACAGCTGTATGACTTTGTGCTTTGACATGCTGTTCATTTGTGTTTTTGTATGTCATGGTTGCCATGCAAAAAAAAAATAATAAAAAACGTTTTATTTGATTCCCGTTGTGATGCGGGTTCTTAAATTTGACCTAGGAAACCGCTTTGCAGCATCTTATGACAAACAGCCGTCAAATCTGCCAGTACATCACATCTTAGCTATAAATGACACTGACTCTGCATTAATACAGTATTTGTTTACCCTAATACCGAACAATAGTGTGAAGCGAAAACCAGGAAGCGCATTTAAGGGGTCTGTATGTGCAGAGTGTGTGTGTGTGTATATATACAAGGACCAGCTGAGCTCTGTGTGCATGGGGAAGGAGGGGAAGTGGGTTCACACATACATATACACACACAGGCGGAGGCACTGATGATGATGATGATGATGCCTGTCCAGTTTAGACCAGTTTTTCTGGGCAGCACGTTTTCCGCAGGATACTGCTTATCGTTAAGACACAAACAAAACATCGCGAGCAAATTAGGGAAGAAAAGTCAACCAGTCAAACGACCGATTTCCGATGCTTAAAATTGTTTTATGAACCGTTTGCGAGCATATAAACAGCTTCTGTTATATTTCTGTTGGAATTCCCCAAACGACATCGTTTGTGCAAAGCAAGCATAGAAATAAACGTATATTATGACGTGATGTCACTTCCCCGCTGGTTAAATTGATTTAGTACAAAGATATCCGTAGCACAAAGCGGCTGACTCGCGCCGCACTGGTTCGAACCGGCTGGATCTTGGTCTCACGTGGAGCTGCTTTCTGAATCTGTTTATCGCGTAGCCAATGAGCGAAGAAGCAAACATTTGAATAGCCAATCAGATGATACAAGGGCGGAATTAGAGGCGGAGAAATGGGCGGGGTTTAGACCAACAACATGCTCTTTTGGAACTCAGCTTTTTTCCCTTCATGAGCTGTTTTGAAGCAAAGAGAGACAAAGGGATTGGATTTAAATGATGTTTGCTAGGAGTTGCGCTTAAAAGAAGCATTTTGTATTGTGATAAACAATTATGTGTATTCATTTGGATATTAAGAAGAATAAAAATATCAAATTTATCATTATATTTGTATTGATGCAGTTAGTTTACCCTGAAATGAAAATTACAGCATTATTTAAGCCCCTCAAGTGAGTCGTTGCAAACCTGTAAGACTTTTGAGCATTTTCTGAACAATAAATTAAATTATTTTATGAGATGCTGACCCAAAATGAGAATAAAAGACAAAATAAAGTTGTTTCTTTAGAAGACTTATTTATTTAGGTTTTTGGACATTTAGAAGTTTTGAGTGTACAAATTTTCAATGGTGACCTCAAACAACAACAACAAGCAGGGTTTTTTAAACATTTTAAATTAAACAGAGTGAGTAACGATGACAAGAGATTTAATTTCAGAACTTTAAAATACAAAAGTAATAATATATTTATAGCAGTATAATGTTTGTCATTAATCAACTAACACCCAACTCTATGGCCACTTTCACAGGATCATCCAGCGTTTAAGGGGATTTCCTCTGTATTCCCAGCACAGCTTGTATCATCTCCTTCAGCCATGGCTCCTACACTGGCCACAGCCTTCTCCAGGCGCTGGTGGATGGCCATCACTGCGGTCATCGAGAACCTGTTGTTCTCAGCCGTCCTGCTGGGATGGGGCTCGCTGCTTATTATGCTCAAATCTGAGGGCTTTTACTCCTACCTCTGCAGAGAAGCAGGTGAGGAGGGGGGCAAACGAGTGCACACACAAACAAACACTGGAGACAACAAATGCACTATGGATGCCAGATTGAATGCTGCAAATAATTAAGCGAACATCAAAGAGAGGGCTTATACATAGACAGCATATTAATTGCTTTAATAGTTTTGTTTTCACCCAAAACATGTCATAAAAGCTAAGATGTTGACTTGACCTACAAAAAGTTTATTATTTCGCAACAGAGGCTGCAACGGTTTATAGATGTTATAATCATTTCATTGCTTGAGGGAATGTGGTGCAGTGTTATAAAAAACAAAAAGTGTCTGGCGCCCATCACAGGGCTTATGGGAGAATCCAGACCTGAACAGGCCATCAATCGATCAATGAGAGTCTAAACCTTATTTGGAAGCTCTTTTGCTTTGTGTTGCAATTAAAGGAATTACAAACAGCATCTACACGCTTATTTGGCATTAGAATGTTGGCAAAAGGGGATCTAGATCATTTGAGATCTATCACAACATGCACACAGACCAGAGGACTATTAGTCTGCTTATATAATACAGTACATCAGCTCTATCTTGAGGATCTTCAGAATAGTTCAAATGCCTGTTAATTGCTTATTTGTGTTTCCAAAACAAGCATGACGAGAAGATGAAGAGCAGAGAACTACTCTGAACTGAAATGTGGGTCAGCTTACAATTATCTATATATATAGTGCACAAAAAAGCACAGGCTTTGATACAACAGATACACTTTTTATTATTATATATTATTATTATTATTTATATATTATATAAATGCATATTATTAAACAATTTAGTGTATAATTTTTGTGTTTAATAAAGTATATTATTGTTTATATATTAAAGTATAGATACAGGAGGTATTTCAAAAATATTTTATAAGTATCATATAATCATAAATATACAAACATCTAAGCATTCTAAACTAGATGCATTTCATTGAGAAGCAAAATTACTTCAAAGATGTTAAGTCTTCCTTCCTCCAACGTCTAGCATGATTAGATAACCAAGATGAAACTCGGAACTGCAACCAACAAACCAAAACACAATTTTTTATTATTCATTTTTAATATCCCACTTTTTATTTTCATAAATTTTAGCTATGATCGTAATTTAAATATAAAAAAATTAAATTAAACATTTTAAATGTAAAGTTGAATAATTAATGAGTAAAAGTTGAAAAAAATAATAAATCAAATGAATGAATCAAATTTATTTATTTGTTTTAGTGCTGTAACCAGTAGTAAAGAAAGGAAGAAATGATCTGTTCATGTGAGCTTGATCCATGCTGCAGAAACTTGATACATGCTGTTTAAACAAGTAAAAAAACTATTTTTTATTTGTTGAATTTTGGGATTAAATCAACAAAATGCAATAGTTGACACATTTAACGAGTATTTACAGTTGAAGTCAGAATTATTAGCCCCCTTCTTTTTTTTTCTATTTTAAATATTAAATATTTCCCAAATGATGTTTAATAGAGCAAGGAAATTTTCACAGTATGTCTGATAATGTTTTTTCTTCTGGAGAAAGTCTCATTTGCTTTATTTCGGCTAGGACAAAAACTATTTTTCATTGTTTTTTAAAGCCATTTTAAGGTCAAAATTATTAGCCCTTTTAAGTCATATATTTTTCGATAGTCTACAGAAGAATACAATAACTTGCCTAATTACCCTAACTTGCCTAGTTAAATTAAATAACCTAGTTAAATGTCACTTTAAGCTGTATAGAAGTGTCTTGAAAAATATCTAGTCAAATAATATTTACTGTCATCATGGCGAAGATAAAATAAATCAGTTATTAAAAATGAGTTATTAAAACTATTATGTTTAGAAATGTGTTGAAAAAAAATCTACTCTCTGTTAAACAGAAATTGGGGGAAAAAAATAAACAGGGGGGCTAATAATTCTGACTTCAACTGTATATTATTATATTGATTAAATCTCTTAGATCAATATTGGCCTAATACTGTAACTTTTTTTGCAATAGAGAGTAGAATATAACAAGAAAGCTAAAGTAGAGTGGACGGAAGTATCAGCAAAAAGATGCAAGGCAGGAATCACACTGAGGTCACATTTGCGCTAAATGTGTGTTTAACCACAAGGCTAGACACACTGACCTGAAACTGTTTTAATGCATGCAGACACACCAATGCAAGTGAGTTCATACTGAAAATAAACATGTTCTCGATTAAAAGGGAAAACAAGTCAATGTTTCTTAGCCATTAAGGCATATTCATTACAGATGAAGACAAAACCAAAACTACTGTGCAAGAGCATTTTTTGCCAGTGTAATTAATGCAGATACATGTGGACTGTAGCCCTGAACGACTGTTCAGCTCTGTTTACGACTCTTGGCATGTCTGTGGAGAACAGCATGTTCCTTCTGACGTCCAAGATTAACTTTATTTATTAATACAACCTGCATCCATTAATTACATAATCATGCACTAAAGCACACGTATTCGTACATGTACATATTAAGACTGCTAGCGGAGCTCATGGAAATATCATCACAAGGCCAAATGCCTCAGAGGTAAGAAAAAACATGAAAGCACAATGTGAGCCAAAAGCCATGTTTTGAACATCCTATAGAGTATGCCAAACAAAGACATTTGTGTTATGTATATTCATATCTAAAGGGGAAATGCACAATGATGAATAACGGCTCAGCTATTTGATTTTTGACCTTCTGTATGTTCATAACGTGTACTGTGTCATGTGGTTGTTGGCAATAGCAAAATATCTGCTTGTTGACACTAGTGTGGAGCGTTACATCTTGTTCTTCACAGCAACTTTTTCAGGGAATGGGGTCAGCAGACGCAAGCATGCTGCTCCTGGGTTATTTTTCCACTCTAAAATCTGTGACCTAAACGATTTAACACAACATTGTGAAAACACATTTCTGTTTTTCCAAAGAATCTTATGACCCATTAGCACAATAACACACCAGCACACCTACACCTTTTGTTTAAACTAACATGCGCCTTTCGATTATCCCATCTTTACATCTGTATGGAGCACTTTCCACTTGTCATCCAATTGACAAAAACACATTTTAATACTAAACTGAGCCTTAAGGTCTGCCATTCTTCATTTATGTGTTTGAGGCTTTGTGTTTCACGTAGCAATGTGAAGTGTGAACACAAACACAAATGCGTGGCGTTCCTCCTCCCAAATCCTTCTTACAACACTTACTTGACACATTTATTGATGGGAGAGTGATATATTAGTTCACAATGCAATCCTGTACATTCACAGTTCACTTCTCTCTTTATTTTCCAGCTGTCGTCAGCATGTAGACATCAGATCTCACATGAAACACGGAAGTATATGTGGCTTAAGTGTTTGCTCAGTGTAAATATTAGGCTATCTTGCTGTTTCCTCACCTACTTTAGTTTTTTTTTCTCTTGGACTCAGCTTTTTGCTTCATGTTATCTGCTGGTGGCTTCGTTTTAATCATCAGGCGTGAAGAAACACAGATCAGAAAAATGCTTGTCTGGCTAAATACTCTAGCTCAGCACGTCTGACCGAGGAGTTCATGACGTTGGTGTGCTTCAGACTCTATTCTGTTCTTCTCTCACTTCTCTTTATCAAAGCAAATGGAAAAAATGAGGCCTGGTTGTCTCTGGTTTGCCGGCGCTGATTAGATCTAGAGGATGAATGGGTTCAGGAACTCCTGAAATAGAGCTCTTTGCTCAGATCAAGAGACTTTGAAGGTGAATTTAGCAACAAAAAAAAACTTTTTGTCAGTTTGTCTTAGTCATATTTAAAGTCAGAAGCATTTGTTTGTAATTGATTTATTATTTTTTGCATAATAAGTATAATCTTAGGTAACAAACATTTTTTTTAGGATTTTTTCATAAATTAAAAGTTAAAATAAAAGTTCAGAAAAATGAAAAACTGAATATAAAAAATCTAATGATACAGATTTTAAAAATTTTGTCATTATAAATACCTTAACTGTCACTTTTGATTAAAAATAATGCATCTTTACTGAATATTATTATATATTCATAAAAGTAATAATAATGTTTCGGCGCTAATAGCCTAGTGGTTAGTTCGTCAACATATAATAATATTATTCGTAATTCCTTACATTTAAATAGTGCTTTTCTGGACACTCAAAATGCTTTACACATTTGGGTGAATCTCCTCATCCACCACCAGTGTGCAGCATCCACCTGGATAATTTGACGGCAGCCATATTGTGCCAGACATCAGCTGAATGCAACGGCAGCCATATTGCTATGATAGGCAGAGGCCAGTGGGCAAATTTGGCCAGGATGCCGGTGTTAAACCCCTACTCTTTTTCAAAGGACATCCTGGGATTTTTAAGGACCACAGAGAGTCAGGAACTCGGTTTAACGACTCATCCGAAAGACGACGCTCACTGAGCAGTATAGAGTGCCCTTCACTATACTGGGGTGTTAGGAACTACACAGACTGCAGGTTGAGCACCCCATGCTGGTCTCACTAAGACAACTCCCGACAGCAACCAAGCTTTTCCATGTGGTCTCCCATGCAGGAACTGACCAGGCGCAGTCCTGCTTAACTTTAGTGGGTGACCATGTGAGAGTTGCAGAGAGCTAGCTGCCGAGCTCGATTTCTGGCTCAAGGTCCTTTGCTGATAATTCCCCTCTCTCTGCCCCCATACTTTCCTGTCTGTAAATTTCCACTGTTCTATCAATAAAGGTGAAAACCCCTAAAAACAATTATATAAAAAAGTAATAATAATGTACAAGTATTAATTATTTTTTAGTGTATATTCCTGACCTAAAGTTTCCAATGGAATTTTTTATTTATTTATATATTTGATTTTTGGAGTGACCCACATTGTGTATAGAAAATTGCTTTATTCATTAAAACCTAAAACTTAAAAAAACATATACTACATATTGCCAACCTCATTTGACCAAGTACGACATGTTCTCAGATTAACATCCATGTTGATAATGGAACAGCATGTCAATCAGACAATCAGAGTTAAGGGATATGTTTACCATTTATATTAAGTTTAGGCTCATGGTTAGGTTTATGCATTTATACATAATTGTTATACAACTATTCCCTCTGATTTTTTTTACAGTTATGGTTGGGTCTAGGGGTAGGGAATAGGTATGGATTATATTTAAAAAAAAAAAAAAGCTGATGTTCCAGGACCAAGATCGCATTGTACTTGGCAAAATCAAGATGTGCTACTACATATGATGTCAGTCTATGCCTGCTAACTGGAGCAGCTATTGAAACCAGTGTGTATTGATTGACCCAGGGAAGATCTTTCTTTATTACTCAACAAAGGCCCAGCAGATACAGTATCTCTCCTCTAATGATCAATCGCTGAGCTCTAACCCATTTCTTCACATCTTTAGTCTGCTCAGCTCATCTCTGCTCTACAAACACAGCTCATCTGATTGTTGACTATACACACTGGAACAAATATCCATCACACAAAGTCTCTCTGTCTCTACCCACCCTCTTACGTTCATAACAGCTTTCTCCATATGCTGCAAACAGCCCCATCCCCCCATCTGTTCGCCTCAGAACAAGTTATTCCAGACCATTTTCAAGGCTGTTGACTGAGATTAGAACAGCGCTGGAAAAACAACTTTCTCGAGTCTTCATGAACAAATTAATGAGACTTTCTGGAAGCCAAAGTGTGATTGTTCCTATAGTCAAAACAGCCTGCAGCTCTGGGTGAAAGAACAGGCTTCAGTGCTAGTCAAGCTGCTTAGACGTTGAAGGAAGGTGTTGATTTCAGGAGGTTCGAATAGACTCTTGTGCTATTTCTGCAAGTTGTTTACAGTCTTCGCTGTTTATTTGACCCTTTGCCCAGCATCCTGGTCTCTATGGGAGGGGGAGGTGATGGCGGCCACTAAATCTCACAAAAGTGTTTCCTGCAGCACTTCCCAGAGTGTCATATCTGGTTTCCTAGAAGACAGACTCCCGTAATCCATAACATTGTGCACGTGCCTGCAGAAAATACCAGCTCAGGCATGATTTTTCCATGAATTTAGTCATTAGATTGCTCAATTTGTCTCTTGCTCTCTCCAATCCTCCAGGTAACGGTACAGGGCACAACGTGTCTGAGAGTGAGAATGGTACGATGAATGCCACAAGACTTGAGGAGGAGGATAATCTTCAGATGAATGGCTGGCCCATATGTAAAGAGCAAGATGAGATGCTGAACCTGGCCTTCACCATCGGCTCCTTCCTCCTGAGCGCCATCACACTGCCACTTGGCATTATCATGGACAAATACGGCCCACGCAAACTGAGGCTGCTTGGCAGGTATAAAAGAAAAGTGTCTAAATATACATAGTATAGACCCAGTAAGCAAATTCATCCAAATCCAAACTGATTACATCAGAGTGAACAGTGACTTGTGGTCAGTTTTCAGTGAATTATTCACTCTTTCGCTTAAAAACATTGTAAGAGTTTTGAATGATGAGGAGTATAAGCAATCCATACAGCTGAATGAATGTTATATTTATGCACTGACAAGCCTTACTATTTCTATATTTAATCATTTAAATTAACTTTTATTTAGAGGGTGTTTTATTCCAGAGCATTTTTTTAGGTACAGTAGTAAACAGAATAGAGTGTGTTAGTAACAGAAGGTTAAGGCCCTGTTTACACTAATACATTTCAGTTTTAAAACGGCAGTCACATTGGCGTTTCACCCAGCGGTTTTGAACAGCTCTCTGTTCACACTACACAGCTGAAAACGCACATTATGTGACCACACACACACTCTGGCATGTGCTGCAGCGTATACGCGTGTCTGAGCTCCAGGCAGTTAGCGGGGACTTTGAGCACAGAACCCCTGCTGAGAGCAGTACACGTCAGACGGTTCATTAAGAGTCTACCACTGGATCTAATCTCACTATATTTGTTAAACGTGATCTTGTCTATATCTAACAACAAATTCCTCGACTTTGGTCTTTTGAATCTATGACTTGTTCTCAGGTAACGTGTTTTGGCTGAACGCAAAGATAAGTTCATATATTAATTTATGTAACCATATACAGTGATTCTGCACATTTGACTGATCGCTTGCCTTTATTTCCTATATTGTATAAACTTATTGTACAATATACTTTTATAATGGCCATTATGGATTATAAAAACTGATATTTAGCAAAAGACAGGGTATGTTTCATATTTTTCAATGAAAATGAAAGGAGGCAGTTATGTTATAGATATAAAAATGCATACAGTAAAGATGACGGTCATATAAATATGTAGCAGCATGACGCCTCAACATTTTTAGTGTCTGTTAAGTTAATATCAAAATGAAAATAAGCAGTTCCTTATATCATGTTTTCATTTTATTGTTAAGAAAATCAAACAATGAATGCAAATGACATTATAAAGTAGCCTACACTGTTCCCTTTGAAGATTCACCCAATGTATTCTCGGAAGTTTGTTTTCCACATCAAACTTGCAAAGTCTGAACTTAAGGAAAGGATGCAAGACTGGACTTTGTGTAGGCTATTTTGGGCTAATATTGGCTTGTATTGAGGAAAAAGCCTCCGTTTTCACATGTCTTTGTTTTCCCCCATCCACATTGACACGGAGCAGCAGCGTTTCAAAATGAAAACGGCCTTATCAGCATTTCCAAAATGCTTAATTTTTGGTGCTCGAAAACTCCGGGGTAGTGTGTACAGAATGTAAAATCACAGCAAAACGTATCCGTTTTAAGACGAAAACATAAGTCTTGATGAAAAAGATGAATAGACCTTTCTTGACAATGACTAATGATTTTGCTGACAACTCAGACAATAGAAGCAACAAAGTAAACAAAACACTAGTAATATATAAGTACTTTGACAAGTCCCTGTTGAACTAATGCATCGCACAATTAACATTCTTTTGAAGTAGATCGAAAATAAAATGTAGAGTGTAAGTGGGCGTAAAGTCCCTACAACTTTTTTCCATTGACCCCAGTTAAAAAGCAAAATCCTCTGTGGAAAATGTATAAAGCTTTGGATTACTTTGGATTTATAGTATAATATGCAATTTTTCCAATTTCAGTGCCTCGTTTGCTATCTCCTGCATCCTGATTTCATACGGAGCCAGTGATCCTCAAAGTATGTATGCTAATCATCTGAGACCGTTACTCTTAATACTTGCCACTGTTTAACCATCTTGTCTTGTTATTATTTTACAGATCTCTCCATCCTGATCTTCTTCGCTCTGGCGCTGAATGGGTTTGGAGGCATGTGCATGACCTTCACCTCGCTCACAGTAAGTGTTCATGTTGTACTTGCTGCGGGTCTCCACGGGTCTGCTCCTCAATCTTTTGAGCAAAGGTCGTGGCGCATTCTCACATGCTGGCTGCATGCCACTAGACTCAGTGCAGCTGAATAATGCATTGGTTTTCTGCTCCCAAAAATTGCTCCATCATCATTTATTCATCCTCAAAGATACATCAGCGGCCCACAGGGTCATCCTAGAAATTGGATTGTACTGACAAAAGATTGAGTTCAAATCTGTGTATGTTTTTAAAAAAAAAGCATCAAGAAGATCCCAGCAATGCCACAGCAACCATGTAGAAAAGCAACCAATCAGTTACACAACCATTTACCACCCTATCAATCAACCTGACAGGATGGCAACTATGCTATAGTGCCCTGGAAATCTGCTTGATAATGAAATAGGACATGACAATATGATGTATAACTCATCCACATTTATATGGCACAAACAATAAGAGTAGTGCAACACTCATTGAAAACAGTCATTGTTTTCAAACGAATCAAGCAAATGATTCAATGTCTCACTCTTACAAACACTGGTTGAATTATATAACTATATATGAATAGTTATAACTATTACAACAATTATTTTATAATATAACATACTCATAGGCCACTTTATTAGGGACACCTTACTAGTACCAGGTTGGACCCTCTTTTGCCTTCATAACTGCCTTAATCATTGGTGGCATAGATTCAACAAGATACTGAAAATATTTCTCAGAGATTTTTGTCCATATTGACATGACAGCATCATGCAGATGCTATCATCCAAATGTCAGAGCAGAAATCGAGATTCATCAGACTAGGCAACGTTTTTCCAATCTTCTGTGGTCAAATTTCGGTGAGCCTGTGTGAATGGTAGCCTCATTTTCCTGTTCTTAGCTGACAGCAGTGGCACCCGGTGTGTTCTTCTGCTGCTGTAATCCCTCTGTCTCAAGGTTCGACATGTTGTGTGTTCAGAGATGCTCTTCAGCATTTATTAGTTGTAACAAGTTTTTTATTTGAGGTACTGTTGCCTTTCCATCAGCTCGAATCAGTCTGGCCATTCTCCTCTGGCATCAACAAGGCATTTGCGCCCACAGAACTGCCACTCACTGGATATTTTCTCTTCTTTTTTTGACCATTCTTTGTAAACCCTGAAGATGGTTGAGCGTGAATATTCAAGTAGATTAGCAGTTTCTGAAATACTCAGAGCAGCCTGTCTGCCACCAACAACCATGCCATTAGAAATTTGCGTTAAAAAATAATTGGACAGGTGTACCTAATAAAGTGGCCGGCAAGTGTATAGTATAATATAACATAATATAATATAATATAAAATATAATATAATATAATATAATATAATATAATATAATATAATATAATATAATATAATATAATATAAAAATATAATATAATATAATAATGGTCCTTTAGTATCTAAGATGACTAACATGACATGCTAATTCAAAGATGACAGTTTGTTTAAAATGTGCAAACAGAGTCAAATTACCACTAACAGAACATTCCATGTCAGTCATTTATGGAAATGTTTTAGTGTCTTTGAATGCAGCTGTCGAATGCAGCAGCTCAGTGCCATTGTGTCTCTGCACGTGCTTTTGCAGTTTCGGTGATGAAAGCAAAACATCTGCAGTTCATCGGGTCCGTATTGAGAAACATCACCAGGAGATGTAAAGAGAGAGGAATGGGTTGAAGTAAACAGGAAGCTGTACTCATAGCCAGCTGACGCGTAGGTGCCTCTTGTTACTGTGCTGGAGTTCAAAGCTGATGGCACAGACATTTTTTCAACCAGTTTCTCCACTTGTGTTGTTGGTTGTCTGTCCCGGGTTCTTGTGCTGCTTTTGCAACATGTCTCAGCCTGTCTGGGCAACTCTGCCTCTGTTTGATACACACTCACAGACAAAGAAATGAGCATGCAGAGAGTAGGAGCACGAACTGACATGCATGAGTGCAGAGTGGAACAGTACAGACTGTTATCTCAGCTGCCGGGTTCTTATGACCTCTCCCAGCTGTTCTGTGTAACTGTGTGCTTTACACTGCTGGTTGTTGTGACGAGAGATGATAACATGAGGCTCACAATTTAGACATCTGTTATTTTGCTGCCTCTCTCAAGAGCTGCATTACTGCTACTCTTTTAGACTTATTAAGAATCCTTGCTATGTCTTCACGGTTACTTTACACATAGCTATGGTTTGGCATTTGAACAAATATGCAAACGTCAGTACATAACTTGGATGCAGATATTAAAGGGCACCTATTTTACACCTTTTACAAGATGTAAGATAAGCCTTTTGTGTCTCCAGAATGTGTCTGTAAAGTTTCAGCTCAAAATACCCATCAGATAATGTATTACAGCCTCCAGAATCTGCTTCTTATCATGCATTACGTCAGATAAACAGCCGTCAGTGATAGAGACAGACTCGGATGAAGCTGAAATACAGCTCATTAGTCAATATTACTTGGTAAGTTTATTTGATGTATTTGTGGTGGAGTTTGTTTAAGCCTTTCTAAAATGATGAGTCTCACACAAATGCCGTTTGCAGTACACACACACACACACACACACAGACATATTAGCATTTACTGACACCATCAACAGTGATGATTATAGCCGTTAAGAATTAGATAGCGATTTTACTGTCTTTATTACAAACATGCTGAGTTTTAAAAATAGTTTTAAACTTAAAAAAATCACAGAGAGTTGGAACAGATATTTTAATCCCAGTTAATTTGCTAAATAAATGTTCTGTGGACATGTGTATACATGTTATTATATAAACATGGTTGAATTTTATCATAAGGTGCCTTTTAAGAGGCCATGACACCCCCCACTTTCGGTTAAAGTGTACTTCAGAATTTTTTCAAAAGATGCATGATTAATGTGGGTGGAGCCTCGCGAGCATCGGGCAGGAGTGGGCGTGGCCAGCAGGGGAGAACGTGAGCGAACGAAGCTAGCTCACAAAATGATACAAACCGTGAGGAGACGCATGAGCTTATAGTTTACAAAGTTAAAATGCTAAGAAATGAACAGTGATTTAATGCCCTGCTACATTTGTTATTCGTAATTTCATATACACATAACCACAATTTATATCATTATAATGATAAGTGTGTTCATGTAAACCCTATAAATGAGGACTTCTCCCTCAATCCCCGTATCCAAGAGACTCAGTGCAGCAGGTCTCCTGACCTGTCTATTTTAACCGTTAGCCGTGCTGGTAATCTGGAGGATTTAGGCAAACACAGCAGCACAGTGATGTGTCTGAATGTGGACGAACTCCTGATAAAAGACAGCGTCCGCCATTCTCTAATTCTCGTGCTGCTCTCCCGACAAAAATGCTAGCAGCACACACACAGCTTTGCTGTATGATCGGCCCTGACAAGATCGCGGGGGAAAACATGCAACAAACCCCGTGGATCATGGAAACAAACGCATATGAGCCTTCATGAACGGCTAAATACTGTGTGCCCGTGCCGTGGGTCCGTGACGTGTCTCACAGCTCAGGCTTTTCTCATAGGATAAGAAACTCCGCTATGAATAATACTGAGAAACCGACGCGTCATCATTGCACTTGCAGTACTGTGCTACGTCGCCGATTTTGATCCCGCCCCAAAAATCATTTTAAACACGGAAGCTGAAATTTGCTGACAAAAGCTCAAAATTATCCAGTTTTCCCCACAATTAAAGCTGACAGGTGCTAACATTGTCTTAACTGATGCTCAACACACACAAATCTGTTAATATAAAAAAAAAGTTCTCCAGGGTGTCCTGAACCTTTAATAGCGAAATTAAACTTGCTCTATACTGCAATATTGCACAAACCATTCTCAATTTTCTATTAAAGGGTCAAAAAGAACAAAATCGTCACCTCCTGATTTACTGGAGAGACCTTTGTTCATTGTCACTTATATTAAACAGCCAGAAGTGATCCCCAGAAAAGTTATGTAGTATTACCCTCGCAACCACTTAGAACAACCCAACAACTATATTATATATAACAGTGGCAACCCCATGGTAACATCCTAACAACAATAATCTAGTAGTTTCAAACCAAGCACCCAAACACAATTTGAAGTCAGGTGATTAGGTGAAGCTTGCCGTTTCGACTTCTTCCTGTTCCTCACGTTCTTGTCTCTGTCTCTTTCTGTATGCACACTCAGCAGTTTATAGCACAGCTGCTGTAAGAGCTTATGTTTCCTCCTAGCACACCTCTGATGTTTTCCCAGTACACTGACTCAGCTCTCTCTGGCTAATGGCTGTGCTGTCCCCAACCCCCATCACTAGCAGCAGCAGCCTCACAGCCACCTGACTCACTGTCTGACCTCAATCCTTCATCTGTCCATTTCTACAGCCCTTTCCCTTCTCCCGTTTTAGCTCTCTGTCTGCCTCTGATATATGTCACCCCTCTGGCTGTATGGCAAGCAATCATCTTTATATGGCGTTCACAACACTAGAATAAATGTAAATAAATAGCATTTAAAAATAAATGATTAAGGTGTTGTCTAAAATAGATCTTTCATTCATTCATTTTCTTTTCGGCTTAGTCCCTTTATTAATCAGGGGTCGCCACAGCGGAATGAACCACCAACTTATCCAGCATATGTCTTACGCAGTGAATGCCCTTCCAGCTGCAACCCATCACTGGGAATCTTCCATACACACTCAATCACACTCATACATACGGGCAATTTAGCTTACTCAGTTCACCTGTACCGCATGTTTTTGGACTGTGGGGTAAACCGGAGCACCCGGAGGAAACCCACACAAACATAGGTAGAACATACAACCTCC